AGGCTCAACAGGTGGGGATGGGTTCCTATCTCTGAGCCACTGTTTGAAAGTTAACTGCCTGTATGAAGTAACCATAATCTTTTGTAAAACGTAGTCACTTGGGATTTTCAATCGAATGACAATTGACTTAACTAAGTGAAGCGGTGACATTATGTCTTCGTGCAGCTTGTTTACTATTTTGACCGTCTACGACAATTGCGGTGACCGGCTTACTAGAGTTACAAAGCGTCCTCTAAAGAATGCTGCAAGATCTATGCAGTTTCGTCGTTTACCTGTGGAGGCGGAATCAAAATACATCAAACTGTTATTACCATCTTTCATATCCTTCAGAAGTGATAACAGTTGAGGAAACAACCTGCTTTCCTGCTGCATGGTATCTAGCTGCTAACCATAAGCACGGTTGTGCAGCAAGCAATGAGTCACACGTTATGTAACCGTTAGTGATGCCACCTGGCTGCCTAATCCTCGGTAGTCGGAGCTAGGCTCGAATCGATGAACCACTGGTTGGAACTCGAATGCTTAAGCCAATAAGCTACAGCTCCACATGTCCGTAGGGCTATCAACATAGTTTGTGATTTGTTTTCATCGTCCATAAATACAACAAATACATGATTATTAGAAAGTGTCTCTTCATCTTATTAGGCTGGGGAAAATTATCGCCCTTCTCATCTGCCTTCCCATCATACCTTGCAAAGTTACGCAGTATTAGGATCACTTTGTGTTTTTTTCCAAGGAACACTATCGGTTAGCTTCATGGAAGACTTCCACGAGGGACAGATCTACAGTTGTGACCTACTGCAAACCAGATAGCAAGTTTTTGGATTACTTCAACTAAGACTCAATTCTGCAGGTCGTTACACATTACACTTTAAAGTGCACACTGTGTGAGTGCTTATAATACTACCCAGTTGCGCAGGCCAAGTTAGGGGTGGTGGGGTTCGAACCCGGATTCCAACGCTTGAAGTTTGAGTACTTAAACCAGTGGTTTAATCCAGGTTTTTTCAGCCACACACTTGAATATTATTACTAACTGATTCTTTTGGGGAAGACGCCGATATATTTATAAAGTATCGCAGTCACGGAAACCCATTTTGTCTCATGACTTACTATCGGTGATGCGCCCCATCGGCCTATGCAATCGACTTCCAAGTCTAAAACTCAATTCACGGAGATTAGAGCAACAAGTTAGCATTACTGGCTTCCATAGAAAAGGTGTGGCTCATTCCCTGGTGCACGAACCTGTATATGGTTACTAAGCTACACTTCGCATTTTATTAATGTAGGGTTCAACGAAAACCTTTCAAATTCGTGTTATGTTTTAAGTTACCAGCTGTGCACTTTATGGGATACATATTGTAGACTAGGTGTCCTAAATTAAAGCACCGTTAGCACTTAGCAGATGTATGTAAATTTCTGGCTCTCTTCAAAAAATTTCTGAGGTTTCGGGTTTCATTGAAGGTAAATATCTCCAGATGGTTATCTGAAGTTTAACATTTTCAAGGAACGTTTTGCAGTATAACTTGTAAGTATAGAACATTGATGCACTTACAAAACCCCATGAGAACGGTGAGAAGAGCTGATTGTAATCTTAGATAACATCCCTCCAATAAATACTGGGTCTGTGCAAGCTCATTGCAACTTCTTGACGCTTGTCGGTGTATTCCGGGAGGCAGTGAGTGTAATAGTGTCAATAAGTCCCGTGTGCGACATCTTACGAGTCCTGATGGTCATAACGCCCTGGTGAGGTGAAAGCAGCAGCTACATTGGTAATGGTCGGAAGCCGTCTCAGCTCATTGGAGTCACCTACTGCAAGAAGCTTGGTGTCATTTAGATGGTCTGTAAAGTAGATGGTGTACCAATTAATAACTTTTATGACGTCTGTGACGCTGGGCGGAGCAGTTCAAAAAGTACTTCAGCTTGCTTACTGCTCCAGCAACATCCATCTCAGTATCTTGTGCCCCATGTTCATTTAACACCGACTCATCTAACGAAGCTAGGGTCCGTAAAGGACTCCAATTTCAGTAGCGCCGTAAAGTATCCAACCCAGAAAACTTACTGTCGTCTTTCCAAAGAGGATGAAGAAAACCAATTGTACAGTCTGGGAAGGTATGGCAAACTAAGAGTTTTCCACTATTTTTTAGTGAAGCTGTCTTCTTAATGTGTTCAACGATCATGGGTAGATCAGCTGGCTATTGGTAGTGTCTAAAGTGTTGGCTGTCATCACACTTCTTAGGCTGTATAAAGTACAAGAAACTGATCCCCAGACGGCAGTCCGAGCATTGTTCAGGTCCTGGATGCATTGGTCACGTGTTCACCCTCCGGCAAATACTCGGACATCGTCACACATTCCAAGCAAACTATCGTTATATTCCTTTCATTGGTTGGGCAGAGCTGCACTCTGGAATTGTTTGTTAAAGGGGGTTGTCCCTGAGGACTTTCTTAACATATCCAAAGCCCCGTACTTTAATGCCAAGTGGGGTGTAGGCCTTTGACCACTTATTTTCATTTTTCCAGGTCAGTAGTGGAGTCACGCAGGACTGCCCGACTTCGCCACTCTTTAACTTACCACTGTTGACATTATAGAGACAGTCCTCAAGGAAATGAGTAGTGATGGTGTAGGCCCACAAGATGGGTATGCAGAAGGCATCCTTTTATTGTGCAGCAACATGCAGATTACTCAAATCGCGCTCGATCTGTTGGCAATCAGTGTCCGTAAGTCCGTCATGCGCTGTGACATCGAGGTGCAAAGTGCTGCCATGATATTGGCAGTAGCCTCTGCCTGCACTTACTCACTGGTGGTGAATTGTTGGTTGTCGAGATTTTTTTTTACCTGGGTAGTTGTGTGTGTTGGTAAAGGTATGACTGATGAGGCCTCTAATCGTATGTTGAGAACCAGTGTCATACACCAATCCATCCCACCTTTGGTGTCGTCGTAATATTAACTTTGTTGTCTAAGATGGAGAATGCAATGCGTCGACACTGGCAGTTCCTCTGTATTCTTATGAAATCTAGCCTCTCTAGGTAGAGAATGTCTGATGATTCTACTTTTGCCGTCATTGTTGTCTCTGCAGGGCTTTCGGCTCTCCATAGAAACGCCATGTAAGTAATTCTGATGTGAGACACCATGTTTTTGGGCGTGACAAGCATTACCATTTACTGAGTGTGGTCATATTGAAACACTAGGTTTGGTAGCTTGAACACGTTACTCATACTCTCAGTGGCTCCTATACCGCTCACTATTCGCTTGCCCTGGGATTAGTTGAAAAAAGTGGAGACGGCCAGTGTGTAATGTGACGCCGTAGGATGGATAGTTGTACTGGTTTAGCATATGTTGGTACCCCACAAATTCCTAAATGCAGCCCAAGAAATTGCAGAACTCAGGGACTTGAGACAGTAGCAGAGATAGCTACGAACCGAAAGCACAGTCGACCATTCTGCAATTTCCTTTTTTCTCCTATTACTATAAAGTAAAAGAAAAGTATCGGATACTTCTTTGGATGTGTTTAAAACTTTCTTTAATAACCTATTTCCGTTTATGCTCCCATTCTCAGTTCTGTTTTCTGTCTTTATAATCCTGGTCTGTTATTTTGTATGGCACATCTCTTGGTGTTGATGTCGTGGCAAGCTTGCGGGTTCCAATGATAATAACAATAATAGTCATAGTGATATTACGGACTAGAAAGAGACAAGTCGAAGCAGGACACCGGTTCAAGTTGCCTTATTTCAAAGTAGCATGCAGACAAATGGCAAATTGACAAAGACATTGAAGTAGACAAAAGCGTATGAGAATGGAGAGAATAAATAAATGTAGGTTCATTAAAATGTTCAGAATTTTGGAGATGACACAGTGTATATATCTACATCACTGTAATCAGTTTGAACTAAATCACTAAGTCTTAAACAGTCAATTCCTATTGTTTCTAGGACCTCAGCGATGCAGTCTACACCTCTCTACATGGTTGAAGTCAACAGTCCTAGGCTTCATGAACCCGTAAAATGTCTTGGTCTGGCCAATCGAGCCTTCTTCCAACCACTCGTCGAGACAGGCTTTGGCTTGGGGCACGAAAGAAGTCTAGACTACCACAGTTGATGGAAGTCCGCAACCTTATAGACTGACCTGCTTTCCTTGCCTAGCACTATACATCTGACCTTGACATTGCTCATTTTGTAATTCCACCACACATGAGCCATACTACGAAGATACCTTCAGTCAAAACCCTGTAACCTAATTTCGAACAGCCGCACAAAAAAACAAAGGTGAACTGCTGCGCAATTTGGAAAATAGTCAGATATCTTGGTGACTCCATTAGCAAAGCCAAACGGTTTTTTGAATACACTCTGAGATTTTGTTAGCAAGCAATCTATCCTGTCCCATTCAACTCCCAAAGTAATCTAAGTGGCTGACATATTCCATTACTCTACTTCTCATCCTCCAACTAAGATTCATACAAACTAGTCCTGAAACGTCATCTTACGTTTGACAAGTGCGAAGCATACTCAAAGTTCTGTCTATTATAACTATACCGTCACCTTTGTCCAGACAAGTTGTCAAAATTTCTTCCTTACATTTCAATTGCTGCACTTGATTGATGTGGTTTTCGGACAAATGTTCAGGTTACTTTGGTTGTTTGTGGCTATACTGAGAAAATGCCAAAACTTCCTCATGAAATCAGGTTCTTCGGCCGAAAAAGCGGAAAAAATAAAAATGAGATAACCGGACGTCAACTCATTGAAACCTTCAAAAGAATAAAAAAATGAATCAGTTATCAGTCTCAAGCTATGTAAAAGACATATCTTCTGGATCAACTATTCCTTGTCTATGAGAATTACATGGAACTGATAAGCTGAACTTACCATTACGTTTCATCCGAAGTTGTGTTTAGCAGTATTGAAAACAATGTTTTTTACTGTTAATGTGATTTTTGACATTAGTTTTTCTACAATATGTACTTAGCATACTTACCACTCGTATTGTTTTAGAATCCAGTTTTTCCCCCATCATGGTCGTTGAATCAGATGACTCTGGTTTTCGCCAGTTGGAGTATTATTCTTTAGTTTCAAAAGTCTGCACAGAATTGACAAACCACTTGGGTTTAGATGACAAAGCTTTGGGTAAGTTAGTTACTTATGCATTTTTCTTTTATTGTAATCTTTTCTTTTCAGCTGAGTTTGTTATTCATTTAGCCAAAAAAAATCCAACCTTTGAAAAATTCAAAAATGCCCTGGAAAAAAAGGGTGCCGAGTTTACGGTGGGTAAATTATTTTCAATGATATTTTGATCAGTCGATTCCAGTCACTAGTTCACACAATATTTTAATACGTTTCATTTTATCCGTTCACTCCACAGGATCCATTGATAGCCAGTATTCTGCGTTTAGTTGAGAAAATGCTTCCAAAGAAAGAAAAAGTTACTAAAAAGAAGACATTAAAACCAACTAACAAAATGGATTCTGAGCAGGACGCTGTGAAAAATAAGTTGGAATTAAGAAAACGACTTCTACCAGCATTGTGTATGCCAGATGAAGACCCCAACGATGAAAAGGTAATTCTGTCCTTATCATTAATATTTTCATCATTCATCCACTTATGGTTTTAGCGATTAGATGTTGGATCGGAGAATGTAGAACCTTGCTATACTACTGATAAAAAAGGTGAAGTTGAAGACAAATTCATTCATCCTGATGAACTGGAAAATAAACCATACCATAACGATACTACTACTAATAATAATAACGATAATAGTACTAATACTGGGAGTAGTGGAGATGATGTTGAGGCCATAGCTATGATTAAAGATTTAGAATTATTGTTATCAGATGCAAAAGTGTAAGTTTTGTTGTTATTGTTGAATATCTATGAAAAAACCTTTTATAGAGCATCTCTGTCCGAATCGAAATCGCATGATGAAAAGAAAAGTGGAAATAGACGGTGAGTAATTTTTATTTGTTGATAATGTTGGTGTGCTAATATGTGTAATTCTGGTGAACATTACTTTGATTTGTGATAAATGAACTCTGTTTAGTGTGACCGACAACTGATTGATAAAATCAACGTAGAACCTCGCACACAGGTCCATCGAATCAAGTTGCCACACTCCACAGTAGTACACAAAGAACAGGTGAACAAAAAAGAGTGATAACGAAGTAGTCAAATGCCGCCTTCATATCAAGAAATATAGCAAGTGTTGGCAATTTGCCGTTAGGTATGGCTGTATTCCAGGACCTGTCGTTGGGTAAAAGTATGTTCGATCTACCCTCATCCCGGTCTGAAACCCGCCTAGTTTTCTCAAGTTTACTGTTCTCAAACTCCAGTTAGGCGTCGGATAGCTATGGACCTTAGGATCTTTGACACAATGTTAGTCAAACTAGTTCCCCTATGGTTGTCACACGAAGACTTCTCTTCGTTCCTATAGACCAGGATAATCAGTGAAGTGCACCATTCTGACAGCACTAACCCTGATTTTCATACAGTACCTATTACTTCCGTCAATTTAATTAGCAATTTTCTACCTTCATTCTGAAACCTTCAGGTGGAATACTACCAGGTCCTACTGCTTTTCATCTTTTCAGGACCTAACAGAGGTATACTAATGAATATTGAAAATTTTTATCATCTTAACGGTGCGTTTCTTCCCTTTGTTGGCGAATTGGTTTCCAAATTGAGTCTTTCTAACATTCAAGTACTGTATGAAACTATTGTTACACAATTTTCGAATCAACAGATAGAAATAACGTAGTACCTGAGACAAATGTACATCAGTTCAACTTAACCTATCATTTCTTTAACAAGAAGAAAAACCAACAGCTGGAAATGGTAATATCTATTATTACAAGTGTCTAGAAAAGAAAAACAGGAAAACCAAATTTAACGTAGAAAATATTGAACATGTGTTCAAAATAAAGCTAAAGACAAAGCTTGAAAAAATCTCTATGACAGACGGACTTTAAGTCATGTTATTTGTAGTCTTCAGCTGTCTAATTAGTCTATATTGCTGTTTATAACCAGAAAGCTTCTAGTTCCAACACTGACTTCATGAACTGGTAGCTTAGGATGTTAAGCACATACAATGCATATTCCAAACAATTCAAAAGTCTAGTGTTTAAGCCCTTATTAATTTATATATGGCGTTTATCTAGTAGCTTTTGATGTAACATTAACATCGCTGACCTGGGGATTCCATCCAGCCAACATCAACATGTGATGTAGCATTGTTACTAAATGGTCCAAGTGGGCACACCTCATATAAGCGCAAGGTGAAAAGCACTAAAGTGAAAGGGAAATAAAGATGAATGTGATCACAAGTAGTAGACGGTCGTAAGCAGAGAAAAATAAGGAATAAAATAATAATAAAACTCAGTATGCGGATTTAAGGTGAAGATAATCAGTGGATGCGCTTCTACCACTTAGATTGATTTCAAGCCATACCACCTAGTCTCCAACCATCGATTTTGGTTTCCACGTTGACCTTGACCAGGAAGTATATTTCTCTATAAGGCTCATATCAACGGCCGGATACTTCACGGGATGATGCTATGTCTTATTCTAGTCACCTCTAGCCTTTCTGTAACCTGAACCTATTTCAACTAACATTGTGCATTGGGGCTGACGGTGGTTTGGTGTGTTTAACACACTTCAGCCATCTGAGTCGGCCTGTGCTACCAAGGTAATAATGGTGGGCCACTTGAAGCTTTCTGATATTCTCTGCCATTAATGGTTATGTTTCACTGCTAAATAGTAAAACCGCTATTACACGTGGGCTGTGCTCTACTGAATGTTTTGTATCTGCATGGTAGTATAAGTATACTGCTGAACACCACATATTTTGACAATTAGAAAATTTCTTGAGATTTGGTGATTCTTATCTGTTTAATCCTTCATATTGATTGTCGTGTAAATTCGTTAGGGAAAATAGCAAAGCATATTGCGTTGGCTAATTAGACTTTGTTTGTATATCAGATTTGTCTTACCGTTACACTTTATCTCAGTTTAATTCCAGTTTCTAGATGAAAAGTATGCAGTGTTTTGCAGTTTTCATAACTATATGCCTTTGTTCTACTTTTCTTCAAAACAAGTTATATTTCTTGTGAAAGAGCAAAGGTTGCATTATTAGCAGCGTTTTTCTATATCAAGGGCTTGGGTTTTGTGCTTATCATGTAAGGTCGTAATAATGGACTGATCTACAATAATTTATCGTTTAAGCATAGGGACTAAAGTAGTCGACTTCACAAGCCACTTCATTTACTTGCAAAGTTGCATAAGTCCTAATAGACTGGTTTTGTTAACATCGTTGACACCGGCAAGATATCAAGCTTTTTACCGATGAACAAGTATATTGCAGAATTGTTCACTTTGTGTTTCTGCACAACTATAGGACTGTGTTAACACACAAGCATTACCAACACAGGATTTGAAGTTACTGGGTAATATTCCAGGTTGCTACATCTCACTCCAACACAATAAGATAGGTGACAGTAAAGAAGGCAAAAAAAAAAGAAAATAATGGAGTTACATGTAGCTGTCGAAGCCGGAGGAGATGAGAAGACTAGTGGTTTTCGGCTTTAGGTTTCTTTGTAGCATTAATCGTTCGGGATGGGACCATAGGATGAATAGCATTCAGCTCTGATGTTCTGTAAGGAAGGTGAGTTCATCGACGAGATTGTAAAGCTTTATCGACCATCATAATTGGGACATGTGTTTTACTTTCCGAATCCATCACTCTCCTTGGGTTTCAATTTAAGTTAACGTAGGTTATGATTAAATAAAAGGGTGCAGTGGCTCAACCCAATGCATGAAGCGAATCCATAAGGTTTCTCGCAGTTAATGTGAGCTATTTAGGAGAGTATAGGCTGCTTGACTGTGATGGTTCGTGGTTATCGATGACATGGTTAGCAACTGACTACAGTTACATGAGTGTATTCAAAATTTTCAGCATTTATTTACCTTCATCTTTTTATTCTCACCTCTCTTATGTTCTCATTGTTTGTCTTGGTTTCGTCTTATTTCTGTCCACTTCCCATACGTATAATGTTGGGAAGTGTAGCAAATCGAAGTCATACACCTCTCTGCAAAGTTCCACTTTGATCATTTCGTTTGCCTATTTCTTGATCAAGGAATTCCATCTTATTTTCCGTACTAATGCTTACCAAATTCTCCTTGAAATATGTGAAATCTGTCACAGTATTTATCGATGCGAGGCAACTTGCTGTGAACGTATACGGTATGGGGTTCATGTCTTCTAAACATAACATTCACTTAGTTGCATCAAAGATGTTTTACTGATCATATTTTGTTAAAAACGTTTTCCCATACCTCTTTGATTACTTTAGAAGTTTGTTTGTAGTCCCGTTAACCTTTCTGTTATGAACTTCTGGTAACATGATAACTTTGATCTCCAAAGTAAATAGCATTTTTATCTGAGTTCTATCTAACAAACACCTTTTTCTTTCTGTTACACTGTGCTCTGGTCTGCTAAAGGAACTCATACATTTTCGTGTTGAGTATCCTGATAAACATTCTCGTGAATATTCAGACTTCCTAGTGGACTTTTTAAGATCTGGTGGTGATGAATGTACTAATTAGCGAAATACACACAATATCACTTTTGGTTATTCTTTAGTGCCGTCAACGTGGGACAGGAATCTTGTCATTATTCATCAGAAACTGTCTATTTTCACTGTACTTCTGAGTATTGTTAATCTTGAAGAAACATGCTTTCTCACTTGCTTCCCTAGAACTCTATCTACCTTACTTTATGGTATACTATTGTCACGTAGATCATTTGTTCTCATCCATAGTTTTGGAACCCCATGTTACATTAGTTTGTTGCTAGAAACTGACCAGTTTGATATCTGGTTCTTGATATTGCTCAAACTCTAAAGACCTCAAAGGACATCAGTTCCTTTGAGATTGAAGATACCTCTTGTTAATGAGTATCGACAGGTAGAGAACTTAGGTCTAGGGATACTTATAGACTTCCTCCAACCACCGTACATAGACCTAATGTTAGATAATTGAAAGCGATTAGCACTTATCAATTGCAAATATTTGTAATCATGAAAAAACTGATACTTGCTGAGAGAGATGAACCCACATCAAACAGTTACTTAGGTTATCGCTATGATAGGGGAGCAGTAACTAACTCATTGAGATTGGATTAATTTTACTAATTGATCGTATTGTCTAATTTCAATTACTGATGAAACTCTATTGGTTATACTGTGAACTTAAAGAGCAGGGTGTAACACTGGAGAACGGAGTATAATCTTAAGACTAAAGACATATACCAGCTATTGTTTTTCAGATTGCCATTATATTACCTGTGAAACTGAACTTCAGAGTCAATTAAATTAGTTCACTTATGGTAAAGACAATCGTGCCTACCTTCACACATTGTAGATAAGTACGATTTCTTTGTGTGTGATTCTGTTAAGTCATGTGGTAGTGGTAAGATTTTCTTCGTTGTAAAATCATCGAGTTCAGTTATTGAATACAAGCAGCTTATTATGTTATCATTTTCTTTTGAAAAGAAAAAACTCATTTTAATACTCTCTAGATTGTATGGAGAAATGATCTGTCATTCATTTTTTGAGTGTACTCTAGTCTCACAACATGAAAGAGCTGTCTCGCTTGTTTAATCATTTAACCACCAACTAAAGGGTTATGGTGGTTCCGAAACCTAATCCACCTACTTCGATCTGGGTAGTCAATCGATCAGCTTCATAAATCTTTGCATGTTGAACAGAGCTGATGGTCTGGAGAAAAAAAATGTTTCAGGTTTATGACTTACATTGTTGATTTTTATTGCAGTAGAGTTCTTCAACGAGTAAGGAGATGGAGTTAATAAGTAGTTTTATCTAATTCAGTAGTCGGTCTAGGTTAACGCAGCTAGGAATCTCTCAAATTCCTCCCAAATTTTATTCCTAATTCACTTCTTTGCCTCAGTTATTGATCTTTCAGTCTATTTCTGTATAAGAGGAGTTAGAAAAGATGCATGCTTAAAATGTATTTCTCTCTATAATGATAGTGGTCGTCGTTCACGTTCACATTCCAAGTCACCACATCGCTCACGTCATTCAGATAGAAGATCTTATCATAGAAATTCTGACAGCTTTGGTGATTATCGTGGGCATCGTAAGCACTCCAGGTAAACTGTTACTTTTCTTTGTAGTTGTTCTTTTTATGGTTCTAAACGTTTTTCTTTTTGAATAAACTGAAAACTCAGTGTTTCACTTTTTACTGTAAAAAGCACTTTACATATCATTTATGTTCTTATCACAATACAGTTCTTTTATTGTGATAGATTCATTTTAATCGTCCTGCTTATCCACAATCACTTATTAACAGGATAATTCTTTGAAAAGTTTCCTTTGAAACTAATCAACCCTCTTGGGTAGCGGTGTACACTGAAGATCTTGGAAATTATACTGTATCTCTAGTTGTCTTCATTTTCTGACCTTTCCATCACAATTAAAAGAAAATCTATATGCCAAACTTTTCGAGTATATGCTCAGTCCTTAACCATAAATTTTCTTTTAGTAACTTAGTCGAAATATTGGTCATCTTGGGTTATCACATGTATTGGTTGTTCTGACTGAAGTGCACATTTGATGCCACTTAACTCTATCACACCCGAACTCTTATTGTCCTTCATTTCTAATATTTATGTGTTTCAATGACTTACCATTATAAATAAAATACAATCCAAATTGAACGGTATTGATATCATTCAAAGCACTAGCGTGTGATGAAGCATCTACATCGATGATACTCCCTAACTGTAACGCAGGAAGTAATAGTTCTTACTGATTTGTTTATTTCCGTTGTAGTGATTCAGTAGGTTAAAGCACCCACGCTGACGGTAGTAATCATTTGTAATGATGAAAAAGATATGTATCTCAGGATGAGAATGATGGTGGTTTCGTGTTGTCTGAGCTTTGACATTTTATCGTGTCTGGCAGTTAGGATTCCTGGTTGTCACCCAGGTTACCTGAGTTAGGGTCCCGGTGCGACAGGTACACGACAAAGCTCAGAGATAATCACTTTTGATATCTTATTGCTTAATGAAGTTGTCTGAGTAGGGGAATTAAGAATGGAGACACTATCGTTACCTAGTCCTTTGATGATCATCTAAGTCTTCTATGATCACCAGTATTCAGAGGAGTATTGTATCGCATAAAAATGCCTTATAACCGAAGTTATGTGTAAATCATACGCTTCAAAAATGTATGTGTTTCTGAAAGTACTCAGTGTTTTTCGTTCAAGGTTTGAATAGCTCAACGGTGACGCAAGTTTGAAACCCACTGGAAACTTCAATTCCCTCGAGGTTGAAGATACACCTTGCTGTGAAGAGTATCAATAAGCGCGAAATCTAGGTCAATCAGGCCTTCCTGCCGATTGCCTCCAACTAAATAACATCGTTCAAGTATCCTCTATTTGACAGTTATTAGTAAAACTTGTAAACTACCAGTTTGTTAGCCGAATATAGTCTCAAAGTATACGTCGACTGTGACTTACGTTGTGAGTGGCTTATTTTCATTTATGGTCGACTACGTCAATCAATGAGACTGTTAAATAAACTGTATATGTATTCGTTTGTGAATATAGAAAACTTCATACTTGATACAATAAGTTATTTAGGTATTCTGATCGAAAAGTTTTGTGTCGACATAGAACAACAGTGAAAATGATTTTGAATCATCGAATTCAAAATATGTACATTTGTGCATTAGGTAGTGAGCTACACCTACTGTGTGACGAAGGCTAACGATACTATCTGGTTGCCGAAACCTTGGTGGATGGAGCGGTTTTCGAACCCGTGACCCATTGGTGGGAAGCCATCTGTCTCCCTAGAACCAATAATCCCCAGCTCCGCACGATTTTGAATTATTCGATTAATGTTTACCGAAAGATTATTAATCACTATCAACTGAGAAGTGAACAAAAACAAGGCCTGCGTATTTATTCCCTCCATCTTCAGATGTTTACTAATGCCACCATTAATCCTATCCAGTTACGTGTTATCCTGTGGAAAAGTAGATAATCGTTTTACATATAGTTTGTTTGATATAGTCCTGTAATTTTTGAGTTCATATAGTCAGTGTTAGATTCAATTTAATTTTATGTGGAAATCGAATTATTTTTTATATTTGGTATTCCTATCTGTAAATCTTAGATCGCCTCACGGTAAACAGTCTAGATCTCCGTCACCACACTCCAGACGTCGATCTAAAGATCGGTCTCCAGCGAATAGATCATCATATCGTAGAAGTCGACAACGAGCTGATCGTACTCCACCTAGAAAAGTTTCCGGTGGCTCTAACAGTCCAACTTCATCTGAAAATAAACGTCTTAATGATCTTCCTATGGAACCATCTATTGGAGATATTTATCGCGGTCGTGTTACAAATGTACTTGCATTTGGAGCAGTTGTCCAGCTGGATGGCCTTCGTAAAAGGTGGGAAGGATTGGTTCATGTTTCTCAGCTTCGTCGAGAGGGTCGTGTTGCTAATGTTGGGGATGTAGTTAATCGTGGTCAAAAGGTAACTTGAGATTTTTAAATTTTTATTTGAATCACTAGTGTCTACATGCACAATTATAATCAAATCGTAATAATAATATAACCCACTAATCTCAGACAAGTTCACCTAATAAACTAGGTATTCTGTCTTCGTGGTTCATTAATTTACCTGGAAATCTATTGTATTTCTCCACTTGCTCTAAGTTTTAACTTCATTCTCAGGTTGGAACCCTCATTCAGTTACATAGTATAATAAGCTCTTACACCACAATTGTCAATCATAGCCAAATACATAAACATTTACTGGGTAGCATGAGATTTATTATCTTTGTCTAGAAAAATTGAGTCATTAGTTCTTCAGAAGTGATGAAAAACTTTGATATTCGCGTGCATTGATGTTGGTAACGATTTTTAACTCACGATAAGGATGATAGTGATTTGGTTTTCTCTGAGATTAGGTATTTTTTTCGGGGATATTTCATCATAAGACTGTGACATCCTCACCACGAATTTCATAAAGAAGGGAAGCATACCCAAATGTTACACGAGTGTTTAAGCAGTGTTTTTGCTAACCTTGGGTCTTGTCTAATTGTGACCTTACTTTTCATTCTGTCACGCTGCTACAGAATCTTTGTTAGTATGAAACTGTACTCTTTGCTACTTCTGTTCGTACTCCAGAAGCCCCAATTTTACGTATGATAGATAAGTTTTACCACACTTCAGAACAACACATGTATGAGAAGTGAACCGAAGTACTGTGATAATAAAGTAAACAGAAAATGTTGACTGTTCAGGCAGTATCTAGGCATCCGCATAGGAGCCCACCTGCCAGCAGAAATCGGGTAGTTCGATCCAGTATATAAACGGGGAATTGCAAGTAACACGCGAGATCCTTCGCAGGTAAGCGCAACATTCTGGATTATCCAAATTTAGCTTTCTCCCAACGTAATTCTCCCTCGACTGACACTGAGCGTCGAAATAAGTGGTGTCTGTGGATACACAACGTGTATGAGCTATCTTTATTGGTGAAGACTTACAATCTCACCTTCTAGCTTACCTTCCTTACATCTACACCTAATAGACTGATTAGTCACTGAAGAGTACTCAGTTTTATATTTTAGTCGAGAGTCCTAACCCTAATTCTGTCAATCACTCTGAAACGTAACCAAACTAGGGGGCTTAGTATTTTGGAGGCAATTGACAGGAAGCCCCTTGTCAATTGCTCTCAGTCAACTAGTTCAACGCCTAACTTCAACATTATTAACTTTATAGTCTCATCGTAGAGCTGTAGCTCATTGGTCTAGATAGTTAGTTTTCAACCAATAAATCATAAAGTGAAACCTCAGTTCACCTGAAATAAGGTAGTATAGCAACTCGTATGCATTGTATGCAACTTATCGCTAGGTGCATGAATTTGCACAGGACTATTGGGTTTGATTTATTCATTTTTCAATGCTAAAAAGGCACTTTTGATCAAAAACCTGCAATCTTCCTATGGCTTCTTACTTCAACAACCTTGCCTCATAATTGTAAAGTAAGTTAGAATAAACTGTCACACAACTAACTTATCTTTTGTCAGGCAATCAGTGCCATTATTAGGTGGTGCCCAGCTGCCAGATACATGTGTGTCTCTTATGTTAGCTGTTAGTCTGCATAAACTCTGGGGTTCCGAAAATTTTTCACCGAACTTATTTCATTATTTATTCCCTTTCAATTTGTTTTGATCTTTGGAAAATGTCTTTTAAACGCGTCAAGTACTCTTATACACGTTTAAAATGGTTTCAAACTGCTATTTTTCAAGTTAACAACAATACAAAGAATAAACGATATACAGGTAAGAGGTGAACTTATAAATGCACAGAATAACTCTGTCGAATTGCAGGTTTTGGTATTAGTCTTACAAACTACCATCACCGAAATTTCGCTCGATATTCTATTCATTCACCAGTCCAAATCAGACGTTAATGTAATACCAGGTGCCTACTTCATATAGTGAGCTTTATTCCTGCTATTATTAGCATTCAAATGCAATGACTGTTCCACTTGAAGATATTATGCAGGGAATGAATTTGTCGAAGTATTACACGCTAATAATTCCATGCTATACCACAAGTTTTGTTTGGAATAAAGTTATTATTGTCGTCATTGTTATTATTATTATTATAAACTGTTCCGTAGGACTCGAGAAAATCGAATAAACTTACTTATTAGGTGAATCATTTTGAAATTTCACACATTTTGTGACAATATCACGCAAGTGATGCCTACAAATTTTCTGTTTGCTTATGTAGACGAATAACAGTTTCTTTTGTTAACTTCTGTTATGCTACACAACCGTCTGAAGGAAAATCTAGAGGGTTTGTATAACACCTTTCAACCTGTATCATATCGCATCGTATTTATGGCTACCGGACCATCATTACTCCGGTTTGAAATATGTACTCCTCATATAACGTTGTTTTGATATGGTTTGGTGACACTTTCTGAATAGTAATACAACTTTTCTCAGGTTTCTAATCGACTCATAGTATAATTTGAGAATGTTGGAATGCTTTCATTTGCATGAGTAATCAATTGTTGTTATTCTCTTATTTTGTGGTATTAGCATTGTTTCCGAATCTCTGATACTATCTTTTCTGTGGATCTATTTTGATGAATGTTGAGTATTTCCTGAGAATAACTAACATCCTAGGGAAACGTATAACCTTTTCTTCGTTGTCGTAAAGTGGTTTTTCTGAATAGAGTTGCCCTGGCTTTTTTATTTGTTTTACTCTAATATGGATAGCATGATGAAGATAACTCTAAACAAAGTGAGTGGATTTGTTGCACGCCCGTTAAGAAAGTGAAAATTATTTAACCCTTGATGTGTGTTCTATAGTGGAACTGTGATTCACTGGCTTAGGCAGTCACCTTTCAACCAGTGTGTCAGGGGTACGGACTCCACTCCGTCTACCGAGATTTAGCTAGACAGTATCATTAGCTCTCATACATTAAGTGTGACTCATCAACTATTGTATGAACCTCCACGTGATTACTGAGTGGATTTCAATTAGGTTCATATTTTCCATATTATCCTCTTATTTGATAACTTGACAACTTAAGCTCCACTCAGCAGGCTAGTGTGATCACTGTTCTGTACTTTAAAGTCACAAATAATGATCGTGATAATAGAACTTAGCAATCTTGTACACTTTCCTGTACTAGGTTGGGAGCCACTGGATGCTTTAGAGCTTATTATACTGCTTGTTTGCCTCAAACCGAGGTAAGAAGAATAGATTGAAACGTTATCGCATATTGGGCATACTGTGAATTAATGGCTCATTGGGTTCAGCATTAAATTCTTAGCTAGAAGGTCTCTGGTATGAATCCTTGTTTAGCTACCAAGGTTTGAATGTTCAGTTTAATACCACTTAACTTGAAGAATAGACTCCCCACAAAAACGGAATGTTTTTCACCTTACGCGATCAGCCAGTAGGACAACATATGATTCTTTAACATCTTCATACCTACCATAATATCCGCTTTTCACGAAGAGGAAGTTCATTAGAAATCGATTGAGAATTGATATTATTTCTTGCAGTTGTTATTCCTTAGAGTAGTTGATAGTGTTAAGTTCTCTGACGACTACATTAGCTACTAGTTGACAGTTGAAGATGCTAAAGAGAGATAGCTAATAAATACTGGGCAGATACTCAGCAAGGCAAGTGAACTAAGGAAAACTGAAAGACATTTTACTCGGATGGAGAACAATAATAATAACGTAACGTTATAACCTTTTATCACTACAGATCTGAACTTCGTCAAATGAATATCTTTCAGTTGTCCGCTGAGTTTGTTCATCATGTTTGACTTTTTAAAGGGTCAGCTGTCAGAATTTATTCTTTACAAACACCAGTGTCTCACTTGTTGACGTATCGCTGCCTAGTTCTTGGATATCCATCATCTTTCCTGGACTTGCAGTGGTTGTAGGAGCAACTTCTATAAGCGGCGTGACCAGCAATTGGGCTTTGGACTCTAGTACCTCTATGTGCAGAGTATTCGCCTATGTCAGCACCAACACCTATGGGTTGCCGAGGTTCACATTTTTAAGTCTCTGTATGACATCACGTCTGTCTACTGGGCCATCGAACTTCGCCATCAGCCATCCACTCACAATCCCTACAACCTCTACTCACCAGCTTCCTGCATATTATTTTATTCCACCTTGTCCCCTCTAGCATCACTATCTCTGGCTTCCGATTGTAACAGCCCTGAAGTCTCACAAAAACCTCCAAATGTCACCCTCTTCAAACGGTTGGAATGGTAGCGCTCCGAATTCCGATTAATTTCTCAAAGCCATCTATCTTCCTCAACCTAACTGGTATGGCCCATTGTTTAGTGCACAAAACTGTATGTAGTTGTTGAGTTGCATCCCTTGGGCTTGTTTTTATTCATTGAATCTGCTTTCGAAGCAGTTGCTAACTGAAAGCAATCCATTATTGTTCTTCTGACTTGTAAATTGTTAGAACTAGATCTCCAATGATAAATACCCTTGAAAGGTTATTTTGATGCCTGTGTGAGTGGTATAGAGTGATTTTTATTTGTGATACACTCACCGTCTTGTGACCTTGCTGACTACTGCGCATTCCCCATTTTTTGGTCTTTATTGCTTGTAAGAATGTAACATTAACAATGTATGTGTACTGTGTTATGCAACCAAAGATTTTTTTCCCCCATCTTTTAAAGGTTTGGGTAAAGGTTATCTCCTTTACTGGTACGCGAACAGGCTTAAGTATGCGTGAAGTAGATCAAGAAACTGGTGCAGATCTAAATCCTTCAAATATCTCAGAGAAGAAGCCTAGTTACTCTAGCGAATCATCGAGCAAAGACAAATTACGGCTTGTGGATGAAGAGAACATTGATGGAGTTCGTAATCCAGATCGCCCTGCAACCAATCCAGGGTCTGGACTTTTTGGCAGTAGACGAAGGGATGTTGGATTCGAAGAAGATATTGAATCTGGTCCTAAAAGGCACGTATATTATCCTTTCTATTTTCACTATTTCTACTATTGAGTAAAAAACGAATGTCATTAGTGTTCCGCGTACAACCTATTGCTGTGTTTATTACTGTAATAAAAACAATTTAATGCGATTGCACTTAAATAAAAACCTGATCAGGAGCTTGATTTTGTAACTCAGTCGACAGAACACTGCAATTTGAAGGCTACTGGTTTGACTCCTGCTCTGTCTCAGGTTTTCATTTCACTGTCAATCATCCCATATCAGTAATTCAATGTGACACACCCATCGTATGAGGATTATTTATACTAATTCATTGCTAACACCTCGGTGAGTTGAACCGGGTGACCTACTGGTTGGAAGTAGTAGTTTTTCAACCATTTAAACTTTAATGGGAACCTCTTGATCAAGGGAACTGGCATCATTTATTATATCTGGCAGTCTTTTAAATTCAAATATATTTCCTCTATCAATAAGAATGTCTAATGCATAGCCTAAATTTTTGCCCTTTGGAGTTATATTGTATAAGACCGAAAGTGTTCATCACTCAATATATTTATTTCTCTTCTCTCTATTATATTTCAGGAAGGTTCAACGGATCAGTAGTCCAGAACGCTGGGAATTAAAACAAATGATGTCAGCTGGAGTTATCGAAAAAACGGAATTACCAGATTTTGATGAAGAGACTGGACTTCTGCCACGTGACGAAGAAGAATCTGATGAAGACATTGAAATTGAACTTGTTGAAGAAGAACCACCATTTCTCAAGGTTTGTGCATACACTTTTCGTAAACAGGAATTTATTAAAGAGAGATAGCTTGTGCAGTTTGTGATAATATTTCACAACCCATTAATCGAGATGTTAATGCATAATTTTGGTGCATTGGTTTAGCAGTTCTCTTTTAAACTTTGAAATCTAAAGGAAAGTGAATTAGTTGAATCAAAGTGATTAGAAAGTACTAAGGAAAGCATAAATATTTTTTGGGCAGCAAGGCGTGTTGTAGGAGAAAAGTGATTAGTTAGTCTGTGTACTCAATTTTCCAGCTATGAACACATGGTTTAAACGCTGTTCCCTTCTTCTGTCTATCTGAACAACCAAGAAGTGTAACAAACCCTTGCAAATTAGCTTTAATTCACTGAAGTATGTTAACCTCTGATGGATGATAAGTTGCATTACACTACGTTGCATTCAGTTTTCAGCATAAACGATATCGATTTTCAGCTCTGTTGGATGACATGAGAATATTAATAGAACACTAGTCGACTGTAATTTCATATCAGACTTGTTTATTGGATAAAGTATGCAATGAAACAGTATTATGTACTACATAATGTTCCGACTACAGTTTATCGTATCCATAAACGAATTCACATATTAGTCGGGCAAAATCCTTGGTGATTGAAGTGAAATAAAATTTTGACCAGCAGTCGGGCCTCATAGCTCAGTTGGTAGAACACCGGGCCGGAAACCTGGTGGTCGCTGGTTCGAATCCGGTCGCAGTATAAATTTCTATTTCATCTTCAATCATCACCCAGTATAAATATGTTCATAAACGTCATCAGTTGAATACCGCTATGCTACTGTATGCTTTATCAAATTAACAAATCTGGTTTGGAATTATGTTGGATGACTTCTGTATCCACTGGTTTCTATTATTCAAGGGATGCAGGTCAGCAAATTTACAGTTACCTTGCATATACTTCAGAGTAATAATCTTTTAGTCTTGCTGTTTCGTGAGTTGACAGAAGTAGGAGAATGTGAACTATTGGATTTCAACTCAATGACTCAATGAATGGTAAAGTGCTCGCCACGTAACCTGAAGGTCCTGGATTCGGTTTCCGGTGGTTTCATGGGTGCGCACTACTGAGGAGTCTCATGCTTGGACGAAAAAGTTTTCCAGTGCTCCTAGTTTCTGAATGGTTCTGCAATTGATTTCAATCCCTGATGAATACCACCTTGAAATCAGTAAATCCCCACAAACCTCCGAACTGAATAGTTGAGTTAGTAGTCTAGAGACTTACTTTAATGTCTTGTTTGTTATGCTTTTTAGCATTTTAGTTTGGCTGCTTATGTCATTTTATTTCGACATGCATGATGACTGATGTGTATAAGAGCTAAGATATTCAGAGTCTATTTCTCATGTAGTCTTGCATTCAGAATTATCTTTTGAAAATCCACCCGATACCGCTTTTCGCAACTGATTAGTGATATTGAATCGAAACGCACTAACCTTGTGCACATTTTTTTAGTAGGCAATGAGCCACAACTATTATGTGAGGGCTGATTATACTACCTGACTGCTTAAACCTTGGTAGGTGGAGCGAGGCTCTAACCCCTAACACACCAGTTGGCAGTCATCTCCCTAAACCAATGGTATTTGTCCGAGAGGCTTTTAGATGAAAGTGCGCAAACATCTACACGTGGTTTATGTAGTCTAGCAATACTTATCGGACTGCGTTGCTGAAATATTTGGAACAGGGTAGTATCACCTAGTCTCCCTAACTGCAAGATTTTGCAGCATCCAAATTTTAGCATCTATTGCTTGTATCCTAAGTGATATGAATTATAGTCTGTCAGAAAGTATCAATCCAGTTGCTGATTAGTACCAAGACGTCACAATCTGACTGTGGTTCCCCTTACCTATCAACTGCAGTTATTAAACGTACACGTTCAGTTAGTAACCCGACATCATGCTAGAAGTACTGATGTTATCCTTATGGTAAGTATCCCATTACAAGTTACCGAACATTTTTATCCAGTTAACTGATGTCTAACTTGAAAAACACCAGGAGAAAGTAGTTCCTAATTACATGACTGGAAGCAGAATCTACTATATACGTAAGGTTTTATCAAAAACTTGTTAGTTAGGTGAGACATCATGCTCAGTGGTCATTTTCCTATTTAGAATGGAACCCAGAGCATATAGACTACTGAGTCAGTACAGTAGCACCCATTGTGACATATGTTAGCTGCTGTTTGAACTTAGCTTGTTAGTCATTCAAATCATCCGTAGTTAAATAGTATGCAGTTCTTCATGAATTATGATAACTCTCTCTATACTCAAAATTGAAAGAAGACAGAGAAACATGTTAATTAAGAGTTCTAGGGTAATGGGATAGCGCAGTTCTACATTTCTTTTTTCTAACGAATGTTAAACGGTTTTGGTTTTTAATGTAAGATTTCTCCTAGTAACTTAGTTAGATATTAAGAAGACAGCATTTTTGTGTCATTACTGTTAATATTTTTGCATATACACACGTATATATTCATTCTCACTACTTCTGAACATTCTCTCTTCATTATCTCCTTCCCATATCTTTTTTTATCTAGGGTCATGGTCGACATGCTATGGATTTGTCGCCGGTTAGAATTGTTAAAAATCCCGATGGATCACTTCAACAAGCTGCTATGATGAGACAAGCTCTACAAAAAGAACGACGCGAAATGAAACAACAAGAAAGACAGAGTCAAGTAACAGCTGAACGTGAGGCTGCTCCCGAACGGATGGGTAAAGACTGGCACGATCCAATGGGTTTTACTCGTATGTGTTAATTCATAGTGTTGTTATTACTACTATCGTTGCTAATATAATTATTAGTATTAGTTACAATTACAGTGTTTCATGTCACAATTACCTGTGACAAATAGCCATCAATCAAGTTTCATTGTTTCCAACCACATAGAGCTTTTCACTATTACCCCCGCATCATCATCATTTCTGTGATGCTCCTGTGTTTGTACACTATTTTTTTCAAACGTTTTCTCCCCTGCTCAATAATCGGCAATGAAACATTAGCCTTCATCTTGAACAAAAAGGGTTAACAAGGTAGTTGAAAAATTTATTGAACCAGAAGAAAAGACAGTGAATCTGCTTTTGGTCTCTCTGTGTGTGTGAGAGAGACTGATTGTCAAGATCCGTTTTTCGTTTTTTTTTTGAGGCGATCTTTGATGATGTGAGCACAAAGCTTTTTCATGTGTGTAATTTATCCACTCATTTCAAGGTTTGATTTTATTATTTAGTAGGAATGTAAGCTAGAACAACACGTTACTCTTAAGTTTTGTTTACTTGGTGGTTGGTTTCCCTAGTGAAAAAGTGTGAAAATGCCTTTTATTCCATGATTGTGAAGAGTTATTTTAGATCAAAATGATTATCAGTGGATTATATTCAGGGCAGATTATTATCATCAAGATGTACAACCGTAGTACACACTAACCGAATACGCTCTGTGTCAGTCCTAGTTTATTGCTCATTTATGAGTGCTACCAAAAATCTGGTCTCATAAGAGCTAAAGAAATGAAACAAACCTCTACCGTTTGGTATCAAGTTTTTCACACATCTATTGGGACCCTAGCCTGAATCATATAGTTGTTAGATGAGAACATAAAGCCTTATCACGTGTTGTGAACACTTCTCCTTTGAGTTTATTATAGTACTACCAACCGTGGCCTCATCCACCTCTAACGTCTTCGAAGTTGGTATCCTACCTTAAAAACATCGAATTTGTCAGCTGCCTATATGTTATGTATTTTTATTAAGTAGAAACGCTAGATGATTAATGTTCAGATAATTGTTGCCACGACTGCCCTGGAAGAATTTCATCACTGTTTATAAAACGTTTTAAAGACGCTTGTAATATCTCCAAAGTGTAGACTTGTACTTATACGCCCGAGGTTTTTCACCTCTGATTTTACCTAGAGTTGTAGTTATTGAGTGAATCATTAAGCTTTTTACCTAACCCTGGTTGAATAATGTATGACGGTGTCTCAACTTATCTACAAGAAACTCGATTGGCTATTAGGAAAGCTCGACTTTTTGTGTAGTGAAGGTGAGATATTATGACAAGACGTTTTTTCCTCCAGTCACACTGAAGAGTTGTTTGTTAACGTTAAGTCTTATTGTTATCTGTTTAGGCCAATAACTGTAATTCCATAGTACATGTACTAGTGTGTATCATATGTAAGCTATAAATTTCTTTCTACAGCTTTTTACAATCATATTCTTGAGATTTCACCCTATTTCCAGTTGTTTCTTATTAAACTCGAGTAAAAATGAAACCTCTTGGTGTTTTAAATCGGATCTACTAAAAGGTGGTCTTTGTAAGGTTAATCAATGAAGTCATTATTTGAATAGCTGAGCCAGTTGGGCATTAGGATAACAATTAAATTATTCGGTAATGATATAGGCAGACTTGTAGTCAAACTGGATTGTGTCCACTGTGTTTAAAAGTTATCAATCATTTTAGACAAACTCATGTCACTTATCATAAAGTGAGATTTGGAATTCATATTATCCCATATAATACTTAGTAATTCGATCACTAATTAGATTGAAATTACACTTCAACAATACAATTTCGCCTGTCTCATTCTTCATTCACTAAAATATCATTTTAATGTTGTTATTTTTCTTCAGTGGAAAATGAACCACAGTTTTTAGGTTCACGTTCAAATGATCAATTCAAAGATGTACCTGAATGGAAAAGAGCAGTACAAGGTGGTACAAGAACCGGTGGTGTTGGCAAAAGATTGTTCGTTCGATTCTAGAACAGCGTCAAGCCTTACCAATATTCAAATTAAAAGATGAATTAATGAAGGTAGATTCGTACTGCAAGTGCTTTCATTTGGATTAAAAACAGTCTTACTCCAGTTTTTGTTTTATCTTCGTAGTTTGACAGGCAAGGTTAGTTATCAAGTCCCAATTGTTGAAGGTAAAGAGCAGTTGGAGATAGTGATAAACTTCAACTGACTGTAAATGGTTAGTTCATATAGCTCCACTCTATGGAACACTACTTGAAGAAGAGTTGGTAGACGTATAGAAAATAGTTCAAAAGGATCAAACCATAATGTGATAATGAAAAAAAGTCGTGCTAGATTACTGCTCTTTGGAACTTGAAGAGTATTGTATCCCTCAAGACAGTAGGTATGAACAGATTGGAACCCAGATCCACTTGTCTGTATATCCCGTAGAGAAGGACTGCTTTTAATAAACGCCTGGTTTTACTGTTCATATATTCTTGTCTTATGTATTAATGATAAGGTTGCAGTGGTGCAGATTTATTCACTCCTTGACGTCTTCTGAAGCTCAGATATTTGCACTTTTATCTTCAAATTGCTGATCCTCTCACACAAATTTGTCTACTTTGATATCACTCATATTCTATCCACCTGTTCTTTGTTTACCAATGTGAAGTGTAGCAGCTTGAACCGATGCACTTGTGTGCAAGGTTTTACGTTGATTCTGTTTGTCTATCTGTCTGGTAAGGCATGGATAGTGGTACTGTGTTTATAGTTGATCAACACGCAGATATGAACTTCAGTATAGTTCCACAGGTATGATCCATTAGTACAGATAGAGTGCACTGTCTTCTTAACCCACCTCGGTGAGTTGAATTTTCATAAGCTTTTAGCCGAAACCGTGACTTGTTAGGTCATTCAGCTAGTAATTGGGGAAGGAATCGAAGGAGAATTAATGCCCATTGATGATGTTTGTACTAGATCATGTCACAATGGAGAAGTGATTCATTTTGAAGCATGTCTGTTCTATTTAATTCCAAGTAAAAGTAGTTCAATAGTAATGTTATCAGGCGATATCGAGTCATCAGCGTAGGAGTTCATGTGCTAACAGAGGTCGAACAATTTGATCCAATAAAACAACAGAGAATTACAAGTATATCAATAAATAGTTATCATTTCTATTCTCGAATGAGTTGAAATATAGACACTTTTCAGGAAAGTGATTCAAATTCGTGTTCTGTGCAGTTATTTTTAATTCGTATTGAAAATCACCTTCCAATTAGTCAAATACCAAAAGTGAATGAAAATTGTTCACTGAAAAACGATCGTATTTTAACATATTACTTTGTAACTTCTTGACATGTTTTCTCGTCCAGTGGTTCATTTGATAAGCTGTCTTTGTCTTCATATTTTTATCTATTATATGATAATATACTGTATACATCATGTATCTTATCTTTTACTCAGTTTTCGTCCCATTTTAGAATTTTTGTTATTCTTTGTTAAATCTAGGCCGTAAATGACAATAAGGTACTAATCGTTATCGGAGAAACTGGCAGTGGAAAAACAACACAAATTACACAATATTTAGCTGAAGCAGGCTATGTGAATACAGGCCGTATTGGATGTACTCAACCACGTCGAGTGGCAGCCATGTCTGTAGCTAAACGAGTAAGTTTATTCACCCTTATATAGTCAGAACTGACTTTAAATTTGATAAAATGAGGCAATTGTTGTAATATCACTCTGTCATTGTGTTTCTGTTGATTCACCTATGAGTATTGTCGCTGTTTGGAATTCCAATAGGTTTGAATAAATTCACTTTTAAGCAAGATCCGATGGTGTTCTCTGTTTATATTTCTTCAAGGTTTCATGATGGATCTTGATAGAAGTGATTACCACAGAACCCTGAATGACAGCAAACTTCTTGTTTGTCAACATTCAAGAAGTACTTGTCTCAAAACCTAGATGAGTGCATCATATAGCACCACTGATTTTCCTTTAACGTTATCTCCATGAGTTTCATCAATATACTCAAAGTATTTGTGACAACCCAGTATACGGCTTTACAGCCGCAAACATATCACCTTTATGACTTGATCATGTAATGGTAGTGATTATATACAGTATGTCTACTCGAAGGTCTAACAGTAGAATTCACTGTAAATTTGTTTGGTAGGATATCGCCTACACTTAATGTTCAAACAAAAGCTTCACAAGCAGAAGACTGTGTTTAAGTCTACCATTCACTTATTGAAAACCTGATGCGCGATAGCTAACACCGTATGAAAACATGCACTGATTTGTGAATATACTTCCTAATAGGTAGTAGAAAAGTTAGCTATAGGGGGTTTACAGTGTCTTTTGTGATAATTATGAATCCTATATGTAATTGTACCTATCCGTTAACTGTTTATCGTTATGCGCAACGTTTCGTTAAAGCCAATTAAGCATTTATCTTATTTCCTTAGTTTTTAACTGAAAAATATGTATAATTTGATGCTTATGCACTTTATTTCACCAAATCCTACTGTTTCTATTTCCCCCCAAATCAGGTATCAGAAGAGTTCGGTTGTCGTTTAGGTCAAGAAGTTGGTTATACGATTCGTTTTGAAGATTGTACTGCACCAGAAACAAAAATCAAGTACATGACTGATGGTATGCTATTGCGTGAATGCCTTATTGATCCGGACCTACGTCAGTATTCAGTTATCATGTTGGATGAAGCTCATGAAAGAACAATACATACAGATGTGTTATTTGGTCTTTTGAAGAAAGCTATTCAAAAACGAGATGATATGAAATTGATTGTCACCTCTGCAACACTTGATTCAGTCAAGTTTTCCCAGTACTTTTTTGAAGCTGTGAGTAAATATCTCTGAGTGGGGTACAACACATCCACCTGTTTTCACACTAAACTCCCTATCTGATTTAGAGGCTTAATCTGTTAAATCACACTAGTGATGATGACCCTGTGTATGAACACTAAATCATTCACAAATAGGAACTCTAGCTGTAAGAGGGGTAACTCATTCTGAACGGATTTTAGTCAGTCAACCAGTGTCGAGACAGGACCCAGCATCACTGCATAAAGTTCCAAGTTGTCACACCTCATATCAGCACATCAAGGGAAGACGCACCATTATGAAAGGTAGAGTAATAGGGAAGAAAGTAACCAAAAGTGATAGATAGTTATGAAAAGTGAACAAGAACGGCCGAGACAGCTATGAAACTCATTAGGGTGGAGATAATATGTTGATACATCTGCGCCAATGAGCCGTATCTCTTGAAGTCTCTAACCACTGATTTCGGTTTTCACGTTAACGTTGAGCAGGAAGTCTGTTTTTCTTCTTACTGTTCAAACCAACAGTTAGTGACTTCTTGAACTGATGCCATTTTTTAGTCTGGTCATCTCTAATCTTTTCTAACCTCAACCTACTTCAGCTGACATTGTGTGATGGAGCAGATGGTGATTAGGCATGCATAATACATGCCTCAGTTATCTGATTCGGTGAAGTTGTACAAAGTCCTCAAGTGACCTACCTTTTCTTCCTAAAACTCAACAACTGACTTTTGCGTTACTGACGTGGTGGTATCGTGACGTGCAGCCTGTGCTACGAAGGCAACGGTGGTCGGACACGTAAAGCCTTCTCATGCTCTCCACCTTTAATTAGCATGCTTCAAATCCACATAGGAGAACAGAGTGAGCCGTAACGCAGTAAACTCGGCTCATAATGGGTAAACGGCTGTCACGACGGCACCATAAATGGTGTAAGTTGGCGAAGATCAACCAAGCCTTTTGTATCCACCAAGGCTGACCCAACTTCTTTGGTAAGTGAAGTGGTCAACACCCTCAGTCACTCCACTTTCCTTTTAAATGGTTCGCAAAGGCAGACCAGTCCTTGAGCAATAATTCGCATTTTGGAGATGAAAAACGCACCGTAAACGTCCTCAAATTAAAAGTAATGGTCTCCGGAAGAGTATGTATCTTCCCACTATGTTCACATAGCAGGACTACCTACTCTATATCTACTAAGGAGTTACTTGTGACAGGATGAATCTTTGTAAACTCTAATGACGAAAAGGAGACCTCCATAAGTATATTAACGACAAAACTAAATAAAAATGCAGAAAGCGGACATCATTAACGTTCCTGACTCACTATATCTAACTGAAACTTGAGAAAACCTGGCAGGTTTCCGACCTTAACAAAGGTCCATCGATCATACTTTTACCCTCCGACAGGTTCTGGAACACAAACATACTTATCAGCGGCCGACACTTGCCGTATTGGCTAATCTGAAGGTGGCATTTGACTTAGTGGATCATGAGGTGTTGTGGCAGTGTCCGACTGTGAAGGGAGTACCGAGCAAGCATATAGTGCTAATCAAAGCACTTAAACTCACGCAAACGTTAAAAGGCTTATAGAATTGACGAACACTGGTGGTATCCATCAGGGATGCCTATTGTCATCATTCCTGTTTAACTTCATTATGGACGTGCTAACAGACATAAACTTAGGTACGTTTGATTTCACAGGGACTAATCTGCTCCTTAGAGGTCATCTGGTTGACTTGGAGTATGCAGACGGTATTGTCCTGGTATGTGAAGACGAGGACAAAATCCGTGCTTCTAAATTCGATCAGAAATCTTAGTATGTTTGGCAGGCGTTTCACTTGCATCTGTGAAAGGCAAGATAATACTGTTGGACTGATCTACAACTACTCTCAATCTAAGAATAAAGAGTGGCGTGGTGAAATGTATCGATCACTTCACTTACATGCCGAGTTGCATCAGCTCGAATGCGGTGATTACTGATGATTTCTCCGCTGGGATACACAAGGCCCGTATAGCATTTGCCAACTTGCGTCATCTCTGGCGCCGATCGGCGAGATATCCAACTATCTATCTAAGGATGAGTATACTTCGCTGCATTCCGTTTTGTCCTGTTAGGCAGCTGTGAGACATGATCGTTGAAAGTAGAAGATATGAAGAGACCACAGGTTTTTTTTGCTATTGATAAGATTTCAAGTACTTTATGTTTTACTTTCTTATTTGAGTTCGTTATATTGTGCAACTCGTATTCATATACTTGGCAGTAAATCGTGCCCGTTATGTAAGCGTAAAGAATAGTACCTCTTCACTGAAAGGAAATCAAATGAAGTGAGGCTTTGACCTTGCATCTTTTTGTTGAGATCAATGAACTGCAATTCCAAATACTCAACGTCTCAGCTCATTCATAAAAGAGTGAAGCACTAAATATTGGACTATAAAAATGAAGTTACAAAGTTGTGTTTAAGCACATAGTTATGCGCTAGTTTGTGAAGCACGTAGTGTGTGTGTGTATGCCTAACAGCTGATTGTTTACAGGTTAGAACCCTGTAATCCTATTGACTGCAGAAATGGTACTCAAATCAGTTTCCGTTGACTATCACATATAAATGGGTGGTAATTTAACGGCACCTTTTTGTTATTCATTGTAATATAATGAAGGGAAAATATCAAAGTTTAGTTGTTTCTTTTCTATAAGGGGCGATATTATTTGACAAGGTTCTTGGAAATCAATTCAACTGACAGATAGGAACTTGAATACGGATCCGTTTGTTCAAAATGCTCATTTTAGCTGTTTTTTAACCTAACAGATTTTTAAAGTTATTGGTTGAATTTAGAACAAAAATGTAATGATAATCCTACCTAGACGTAAGTGAAAGTAAAAAAAATAAAGTTAACATCAAGAGTTTGTCACACAGTGACACCAAAACACCTGACATCCAGGTTCCTAGTGAACCACGTGAGCATAAGAGATCGTTCTAGCTGCTGCTGTACATGAGGTTCTGTCTTCAGCATTTCGGTGACAGTAGTTTCAGCTTTTTGCCAAACACCCATTCTCACCGCCTACAGTAATAGGTGGTGAAATGTGAATATTTTTCTCCACTAGGTGGTCGATGTCGACTACGTATGATTTTACGGAGAAAGTATAAGACGCATTTTCAGAACATGAGTTAAAGTGGTAGAAACGAAGGTTCGAGTCTCTGTGAGAACAACACCGTTCACTCGTGTGAATGTACATCCAGCTAATGAGTCCCAAACAGGACGAGACGCATGTCATAGATTCCACTGTTAATTACATTTGAGTCAGTTGTAATAATAAATACTCAGGCAATATCGAGGCATCCGTGTAAAAGCCCAGATGCCAATAGATGTCGATCAACTGCATCAACCTCGATTCCTGTTTTATCTCTCAACTGAGTAGTGATTATTGTTAACTTTTCACCAGAATATACATCAAATTACTGTAAGCATAAATCTAACACTGATCTGTTTCATGAGCAGTTTGTCTGAGAACCACTACAGCCACTCCCTTATCTTTGCGTTCCGTTGATAGTAGGTGGCACTTTCGGAATCCCGGCTGAACAAACAAATAACGGTGATCACCGACTACAACTGTGCTCCGATAACCGCTTATTTTTAGTTAACACAAATTTCAGACACAAAGAAAGACAATGTCTGACGCGGGATCCACTGAGCTCAGCTCAGCAATGGACACAGATAGACCACATTGCTATCAGTCATCTCTGGAGAGGACCGGTGGAAGACCGCCGCTCCTTTTGGAGTATGTGTTTGGATAGCGACCATGCGTTGATCCGAGCACGTATATGCCTGCGTCTCAATAGACGTAGGAAAAATTTGGCAACAATACAATTACTAGTGCAGCTTGACAACGAAAACACCAAAGCTGTGTTCAGTGATAAGTTGGCTAGGCAGTTATCGGAACAAAAGACTATCACTCACCCATAAGAAGCTTGGTAACATCTCCAGTCTGCCGTAAAAGCAGCGTTGAAGACCGTAGTCGATTCCGAAAGAGTGGTTATAAAGAGGTAGTGGATATAAGCATCTTCTTCCGAACTAATGGATGCACGCGAACGCATTCCTGCAGGCTCTGAGTACAGTGAAAAGCGAGCACAACTTAAAAGTAAACTGAGTAAAAGTCTACGCAACAACCGCGAACAGTGGTGGGCAGCGCAGGCTAAAGAGAAGGAAAAGGCAGCGGCGACCGGTAATAGTAGACAGTTATTTAGACTTATTAAGGAAACTAGGGTAAAAGGTCAACTGCGGTTAGTGCGACCATAGCGGAGAAAAAGGGATCTGCGATTCACTCGCAGGGAAACGGCTGGAACAATGAGCAGAACACTTTGAGGAGCAGTTTAACTGGCATCTAGCCACCATTGTATTGCCTGCTATCCAGTCGAACCCTGAATGGAACATTGAGATAGGTCCCCCAACACTAGCAGAAATCGAGAAAGCAGTAGGTAACCTGGAACGAGGAAGGGCAGCAGGACCAGACGGACTACCTGCTGAGGTATACAAGGATGGTAGTAAGGTGCTCTTAGTCAAGTTAACGGAAGTGCTAACCAGTATATGGGAATCAAACACGATCCCCTCTGAGTGGTGTGAATCACTGATTATTCCAGTATTCAAGAAAGGCGAAAAGTCCTCTTGTGAACACCAAAGCGGAATCAGCCTGACGAACATAGTGTCTAAGATCCTAGGTTCTATGATTCTTCAACGCCTGATTGAAGCTCGGGAATAACAAGCTTCAGAAAACTAGGCAGGCAGCCTTTAGACCCGGCCGTGGGTGAATCAACCAAATATTCACACTGCGCCAGGTTCTGAAACACATGCACGCTTACCAACGCCCCACAATAGCTGTATTTCTAGACCTGAAGGTGGGATTCCACTCCGTTGGAACAGAAGTTTTATGGCAATGTCTCTCACTGAAAGGTGTGTCGAGTAAGTACATCCCCTTATTGAAGGCTCTTTACCCGAACACTTGCGGGCATGTTAGAGCCTATGGCGAGATGTCCAGGGAGCTATGCTCATAGAATGGTGTCCGTCAAGGGTCGCCACTGTCTTCAATCCTATTCAATTTTATCATAGATATTCTTATGGAGGTCTCTCCCTCGTCACCTGATTACACAGACGTTGACCTAATTGCAGGAGAATTTTCATTAAACCTAGAATATGCAGATGAAATTGTCGTGTTAGGTGGAGACGCTGACAAGATACAGAGTCTTCTGAACACTTTGAGTGACAATTTGAGAATGTTTGGGATGCGTTTCTCACCACCCAAGTACAAATTGTTGCTCCGGGATTGGTCTTCAACGGTGCCCGACCGCGGCCAACAGTAGAGAGTGAAGTGGTTGAGTGTGTTGACCACTTCACTTACCTGGGAAGTAGGATCAGCCTTGGTGGCTCAGTGACCGATGAAATCTCTGCACGAATACAAAAGGCCCAGTTTGTTTTTGCCAACTTACGCCACCTGTTACGCCGCTGTGATATCCGACTGTCTATTAAGGGTCGCATGTACTGCACCTGCACAGCAGTCCGGTCCGTTCTACTGTATGTCTGTTGTGTAAGATATGAAAGAACTTCAGGTGTTTGACCGTCGTTGCCTTCGAAGTATAGGCCATATTCCGTGGTGTCACCACGTGTGTAATGCAGAAGCTTGCTGTAGAGTTTTAGGGATTAGATGTAAATCAGTTGACACGGTTATGAACCTTCATCGACTGAGATGGTTGGGACACGTGTTGCGCTTGCCTAGTTGCCGTCTGCCTCGTCACACAATGTTGGCCGAAGTAGGTTCAGGCTGGAAAAAGGCTCAAGGCGGCCAGACTAAAACATGTCATCAGTGTATGAAGTCATGTGGGGCGATGCAGACTAGGTGGTTGGGGTCCGTGGGGCAAGAGAAACCAGTGGTTGGAGACTGTAGGCGTTATTGCCCGGAATCGAAGTCAATGGCGCAGATGTATACACCTATATCCTCATCTTAACGCTTTACCGAATCTCACCACTTTCTCATTCTTCGTTTCTCGCTTTTATTATTTTATATTTCTCTTGACTGGTTTTCTTTCCTTCATCTTTCACTTCACTGCCTTTTTACTTGGTGTACTGATATGAGATGTAGCAACTCGGACCGCTGCGCAGCATCGCCTGGTTCTATGATGATTATGATAGTTGTTATCATGCTAAGACATATACATTTTTAAAATGTCATCTATTTGTAATATGATAGTATGGCTTGATGACAAGTATTCACAGCTCACCTTGTGGATATACCGTTCTGCAAACTTTGGTTTTCATTAATACCCCTTTGTATGCCAGTCTAAATCTTTATCTTCAGTGCAGTTTCATAAGAAGTAATTATGAACATTCTGTGCAAGAAAAGATAGACAGACATACTAAGATAGAATGTGGGATTACGGTGTTATTATCCAGATTGGTACAATTCATATCACCAAGTTAAGGTAGAACGTAACATGAAAGAAGGTAGTGCTATTAAATTTATGTAATGATAGGCTATAAAAGGCCACTAGACAGGAATACATGTGAAAAATAGGGTAGTATGAAGTTATGATATAGACGAATGCATTTATGCCACTATCGATTTTGAGTTGCTTCCTCTGGGGTCTTCAATCATATGTTTCTGTTGTCTTGTTCACTATTAGCACTAAGATGACTGATGAATCAACATACATATCGATTAAGAACTTGACTTCAGAGAGTAAACAATCTACCAGTTTTTTTTATGAAAATGGCAGAGAGAATTCCTCAGTCTTGTCTTTGGATTATCTACTTGACGTTTCATCGATAACCTGATTGTCACCATATTCTATGCGTATTCTCTTTATTTCTCTGATAGCCTATATTCACTATTCCTGGCCGTACTTATCCTGTAGAGATTCTGTATAGTCTGGAGCCAGAAAATGATTATTTGGATGCTGCACTAAATACTGTTATGCAAATTCATTTAACTGAACCTCCAGGTAAGTTTTTGTCAATAATGACGACATTTTCAAGGATTATTTTATTCTTCTGTTTTTTCACACTGTTGTGATGGAAATGGAAATAGGTGAATTTATTGATGTTGTCAAACAGTGTGTTGGTTTGTATCTCTAGTTAAGGCTGTCAAGTATCCGGGAAGATTCATATCAACAGATGTCATATGAAAAATCTGAAATTTAAATGACTATCACTGTTTGATTAATGCGAATACGAGTCTTAAAACTAAGATGGAGATGACTTCTACATAAATTCTCACTGCAATATAACTTTGAAGTAATGCAATATAGTTTTTCATCTCTTCATCTGTAAAGTGCCCAGTGTGAAACGCTCAAACTATGTAATACAGCCTCCTAATCAATCGTTCGGATTGAAAATAAACTTACGTTTTTTTGCAACACTTTTAACTACTTATAAGATATAAGTAGTAATTCTGTTTGACTGAAAAGTATTGGTTACATCAATTCAATACTAAGGTTTGTGGGTGATTTATTTATTGATTTCAGGTTGGTATTGATCTATGAGTCCAACCAAGTCAAACATGAGGACAGTTACTCAACGATGGCATTGGATGTAGGTCGTCCTATATCGTGAACTGACAGAAGTAGGAAATTTGTGCCTCTGGTTTCCAACCCAGTGGCTCAATGGTAACTTGCTGACCATGGGACTTAGAGGTTCTGGATTCCGATTCCTGGTGGGGTCGTGAGGACACACTGCTAAACAGTCCCATATAAGAATGGAACAGCTGTCCAGTACTCCCAGGTTTCCTAGTTTTCTCTAACTGATGTCAATTCATGATGAATACCAACCTGATGTCACATCTAAGCTTCGTTGTCGGTCTTTATGAGCAGTATTCATATTTAAAGAAATTATACCACTACTCACTTAAAGCATACTGTAAGAAAGTTAAAATTTCAAGGTAACAGTCGTCACGAACTGACGTCATTTGGAGAACCATCGGAAGCACTGGATAGCTGTTCACTCCCAGCGTGGGACTCATTAGTGTACACCCATGTCCCCTCCAGCAACCCAACCAACGACCTTAAGGTTTCACGGTGAGCACTTTGGAATTGAGCCACTGGGTTGGGACCCAATGGTCAAAATTTTCACACTTCGATCATTTCGCACTATTGCGCGACCTTCATCCGTTTCCATTGTTGGGTATTTGTTCTCACATTCAACTTGGTTTGCCCCACCAGTCACACCTGAGTGGAGCTCTGAAAAATGTCATCTCGTGGCATGCTACTGATGATCAATGGACAGTGATTTCGTTTCGAGGTTTGTCGGGTTTTATTGATCTGAAGGTTGTATTCCGTGCTAAATCACACGGGTGTGTACTACTGAGGAGTCCCGTACTGCGACGAAACACCTGCTCCAGTGCTCTTAAGTTTTCAACCGTTCTCCAACTGGTATCAGTAGGTGATAAGTTCCACTTTGAAAGCATTAAATCCCCACAAACCTCTAAACTGGGAAGATAGATTGATTGGCGTAAGATTCTACACAACACGACATTGTTCCAGGTTGTCATACGTGGGAGAAAAGTCAATTAAAGGGAGCATTGAGATAAAGGAGGACATGAATTAGCCTTGAACAAATAGTTGCCAACACTACCTGTCGTTCAAGGGAAAAGTGACTGCATTTGTGTGTTGGTTTGGAGCCATTTCATGTATCTGGCACTTTATGTGAGGTTAATATTAATCCCCAAGCTCATACATCGCTTGGCAATGTCATACCTTGTTCTAACCTATTGCACATCAATTTCTTCCTCTACAGTGTTGTTGATATATAGTCATGTTTTTGCCACCAAGCATCATTCTTTGTTTCGTTTTTACCATGATTTTTATAAATCATGAAAACTTTGGATTGCTCGTATCCTATTTAGGAGACGTACTAGTATTTTTGACTGGTCAGGAAGAAATCGATTCTGGTTGTGAACTTCTTTATGAACGTATGAAGGCTTTGGGTTCAGAAGTGCCTGAATTAATCATCCTACCAGTTTACGCTGCTTTGCCATCTGAAATGCAATCTAGAATTTTTGATCCTGCCCCACCAGGATCCCGTAAAGTGGTGATTGCTACAAACATAGCGGAGACATCTTTGACAATTGATGGGATTTATTATGTCATCGATCCTGGATTTGTCAAACAAAAGGTATACAGTAGTAAATCAGGTATGGATCAGCTTATTGTCACTCCGATTTCACAGGTTAGTTTTGATTTATAACACCTAATAAGTTTTTTTTTACCACTCATTTGTCGTGTAATTTCTCTCAATAATCCTTCTTATTTACATAATATGGATATTATCGACTCGTTAGCTTAAGCTTCAAGCTATTTATCATTATGTGTCATTGGTTTAGACAGTACTGAACCTCCTTGTGCGTTTTCATACACACAGTATCATAAGCCTTCATGTAATAGATTCACCACCAACTCCTAGATGCTAATCCCTGTTCATAACTACTGAGTTACTTTGGTTTTTTCGGTAAATTTTCATATTTTATACCTAGGTCTAAAATTCGTTTTTTTTGTTCTGGAGTTGATGTATTGGTCTACACAAGCTGAATAACTAACATTCTTAGTTTAATGAGCCTTATGCTCGCTTATGCAATTTTTTTATTGCTTGGTTAGAATAAAGCTGACCCATTAAGTTACCTGAGACTATGGATTCAAGTTTTTCACACTCATTGCCAAGGTTGATGCATGAGAAGAAGAAATGATGTATCTTTTCATTTGTTAGCCCGCGTTACTCATTTTATGCTGTCGTACGCGTTACCACTAACCTTTTCTAGTCTCTATTTTCCTACCTATTTATATGATTCGCAAAGTCATATTGTCATGAGTGCTGTTGTAAAGCCTCTAGTGCTTTACATTTTGCGCTGAGTGGTTAGAAATGAATAGTAATATTCCTTTGCTTCACGCTAATAGCCGATGAGAATTGCTCTATATTATCTTATTTAGCTAAATATGGGAAAAATGGGACGCATTCAGCAATTGCCTGCACCCTCTTTCAGTAAGTAATGAGCCACACTTATTGTGTTGTACTTACTCAAACCTCAGTAGGTGAAGCAGTGCTCAAACCCGTGACCCGCTGGTTGAAAGCCAACTTGCTAAACTAATGAGCTGCAGCACCACATTTATAGCATAGACCAATGTAAATTCAAACCTCATACGGTGACCGGATTTGTATATATACAGCAGGTTACTCTTTTGTGACCTTTAAATAGGTTAGTATTGGATTTATCTGTAATGAGAAAGTGTAAATTCTTTAGTTCTCAAATGATCATTACTTATTGGATAGTTAATTGACCCACATAATGAAAATTTGGGTATTCATCACTTCAACCATCATAGGTAACCTTATACGAGTATATTTATACTGCACAGTAATCTGGCACTATTATCAGTATAATTCCATATTAGATTTACTTATTCGGTGGAGCACCCAGCAATGCAGTATTGTTTGCTGGCTGGTCTTTTGAGTATAGTCGACTGTTCACAACCATTTCAATGAATTGTTCTCTAGATATGATACAATGTATACAGTACTAAGTAAAATGATCCAATATAGAACTACTTGCATAATGCTGATCATTGTAATGAGAGAATTTAATTGTATTCAAGCAGAAGACCATGTAAACCTGTTAAGTAAAAGTAAAATGCATGCTTTAATCTTTGTTCCTTCGTTTACTCGTAGGTTCCATTTCTATGGGAACCTTTTCATACTACTTATAATACAATTCGGTAGTGTAATTTTATAAACAAAATTTTTAAACTGTGGCACAGTTGAAATTTATAGGAACCATACACTTTTCTGAATAGTGATATCCCACATTATGATAAAGCGTGTTTAGAGGAGGAGTTTATTGATAGTTATATGCTAGGGAACAGCTGCGCAATTCAAAGTATTAATTCAGTAGTTAAGTGAGTAAGATTCATTAATTACACTAATTGTGAATCTCTTTCCAGATAAAAAAAGGAACATTTAGCGCAACGTGAGATTAATTGGAACATTAATCTTTATGTTGAAGTGGTTCGTCCATGAAATTTTATGATATTTCTTTTGTTTGAAGTATGGTTTGCTATATTCAGCTTTAGAGGGGACATATCAATCATCCCCGTTGTTAAGCCTAATGGATTATACGCCTGATGAATAGGCCTGTTTTTTTGCAGTACTTGTTAAGGTTAAGCGTAAACAGCTTTATCTCACTCATTTTCCATGAAAAACAGCATTTTGCGTAACAAAACGATGCAAGTTATTGTCTACTTTTGGAAGTAATGCAAACGTAGATTTTTACTGCCTTTATAATCGTTATCAGAGAGTTAAATCTTTTACTCCTTTCAACATTCTCTAACTCTGATGACTTTGAATGACTAATATAATTTTGATACATTGAAAATAATGTTCATTTCTTTCTTTCAGGCACAAGCTAAACAACGCGCTGGACGAGCAGGTAGAACAGGTCCCGGTAAATGTTATCGTTTATATACTGAACGAGCGTACAGAGATGAAATGTTGGCTACCAATGTACCCGAGATTCAGAGGACGAATTTAGCGAGTACAGTTTTACAACTGAAAGCTATGGGTATAAATGATTTACTATCATTTGACTTCATGGATCCACCTCCTTTACAGGTGAATAGTTGGATTGCTTTTCTATTCATAGAATAGCTTCAGTGGTTGCATTTCTTCCCCTATTATTTCACTTTTTAATTACTTATGTCAATTACTTTGACGCTTGCAATTAGAGATCATCCACATAAGTCATTAGCACGTATTAGATATGAGCTGACTATCAGGATTCCAAGTTACTTTGTTGGACAAACTTCATATTCCTGAAGTTCATTCAAGTTTTTTTCAGATTTATGAATGCACTTTGTAAAACTAGGTAAAAGCAAACATTAAAATCGCTTCTGTAATAATCTTCAGATTTAAAATTTCACCCTCGACAGTGAATAGACACTGAAAACTGATTTATTTACCTCACTGCAGCTGGTTTTAATATCTGACCTGTACCTATTTGTATGATTCCTGAGATTGTTAAATCTGGTTAACATTTGTTTATAATACAAAAGATTTATAGCTGAGATATAGGATGATGATGGCATTATCCTTTGATATACAAAATATCAGTATTATTCTTATCCATGCAAGCAAGTTTAGGTCACCTTATTGGTCTTCTCTTGACATTACAAGTCAGTTGAGTGGTACAATTCACAAGTGATCATAATAACATTGATGTATTTACACCTTTGAAATTCTCAATATATATTAGCACAACCTTCACCCAATTACTCAATGGGGGTTTTCATAACCTTGGGATTTGTCACCACTGTAGCCGGTTATATCTTTCTATGGTTGTTCAAAGTATATCATCTGGGACGATTATACTGTTTTTTAGTCAGTTCTACACTTGTTTTTCTATTTATCGATTTGTCTGATTCAAGGTATTATTATTATTAGTCCCTTGGGTTCCTAATAGAATATAGGGCTTCAGTAGCACGTCTGCAATCAACTCCCTTCTCTGAAATCTTTTCAACTTGGCTCCACGACAGCCCACAACTTCTCATTTCCTCCTCGCACCATCTCCTCCATGTCACCCTCACCTCGAACGTCCAACTCGTCGCTTCCCATGGGGATTCCACTCGAGCAACTGGCCTGACAAGTGATGTCCCCAGTCGGCCTTCTCAGTGTATGCCCAATCCATCTCCACTTCCTTCCAGTGCATATTTGTTGGATGATAGCTTCTCGGTTGGTTCGTTCTCAGAGTTCCTTGTTGCTTATTCTTTCTAGCAATCCATCTTAGCTTCAGTTGCGAGCCAGCGTAAGCAGTTGTTGATGAATGTCTGTAGTTTATTGGAAATCCCTTTCGTAACGCACCAAGTCTCTCAACAATCACACAGAAGCACTGACTTGACTGGGTTGGTGTTGAAAATCCGTATCTTGTTCACGTATCATTGCTGGGTGCAGAAGATCTCCACACTGGTTTCAGGCTAATGAACGCCTGTCTTGCTTTTCCAATTCTGACTTTGACATCCTCGTCTGTGCCTGTGCCGCCTGTAGTTGAAACAGTGCTTCCTAGATAGGTGAAGGAGGTTACTTCCTTTAAGTTTCTCCTCTTGATGGTGATTGGAGTTTGTTATTGTTGTTGGAGTTGTTAGTGCGGTATCTTCATCACCTCTGTCTTCTCTATATTCACTTGAAGTCCCATCTTCGCTGCCTCTTCTACCAACTTGTTAGTTTTTGCCTGTAAATCTTCAAGTTTATGTGACATCAGGCACAAGTCATAGGCGAAATCCAAGTCTTCTAGGTTCTTTTCCGCAATCCAGCCAGCGTATCCCCCTCTTCTCGCTCTCCACTGTTTGCTGCATGATCCAGTCCACTACAATAAGGAATATCATGGGGGATAGTAGGCAACCTTGTTTCACTCCTGTCTGTCTTCACTTCAAAAGCATCACTCAGCTTTGCATTGTGAATCACTTTCTATGTGGCATCTTCATATAGTTGTTGAATGAGGCTGATAAAGGTTTGCGGTACTCCGTAGTAGTGAAGCAGTTTCCAAATTACTTCTCGGTCGACGCTGTCAAAGGCCTTCTCAAAGTCGATGAAGTTGAGGTAGAGAGCTGATTGCCATTCTATGCTCTGTTCTATGATGATGCGTAGTGTAGCGTTGCAATTTGGTCTGCACATGATTTGTACTTCCTGAAGCCTGCCTGTTCCGGTCGCAGTTTTGAATCCAGTGCATCTTTAAGCCTCTCCAGGATGATGCGGCCTAATATTTTACTTGGGGTGGACAGGAGAGTGATTCCGCGCCAGTTCTTGTAAACACTGAGGTCTCTTCTTCGGCAGTTAGACAAGGTAACCCTTCTTCCAGTCGCCAGGTACCTTCTCTTCCCTCCACATTCTGCAATAATGGTGTGAGCATGTCCGCTGTGGTCTCTGCGTCCGTTCTCAGTGCTTGTGGCGGAATCCCATCTGGTGCTGCTGCTTTCACGCATTTCAGTAGCTTTATGGCGTTCAGGACTTCCATTTTCGTTGGAGGATTTATGTTCACTTGTAATTTAGCGGCTGCAGGTGGTATTTCTGGACGAAGTGCAGGTGGTGGTGGATTCAAGAGCTTTTTGAAGTGGTCTGCCCATTGTTTCCTTTGTTTCTCTTCTTTCGTAATTAAATTTCCTTCGTCATGTTTTATTGGTTTCATCTGTGTTGATCTCTTCCCTTCCAGATATTAACCTGGTTATTTGATACAATGTTGTCAGGTCTCTCTTACCTGCAGCATGCAGCCTGTTCTGCTTCACTTGCCAGTGTTTCGTAGAAGTGTCTTTTGTCTTTGCGTGCACTCTTCTTCACTTCTTTGTCCAGTGTAGTGTTTTATACATTGTACTCAGTTCCTCTTGTCTTTGAGCATCCTAGCACTGGTTTATCTTCTGTTTCACCATCCTCCTCTCCTCTATCAGCTTCCAGGTATCCGTCGAGATCCCTTCCAGTCCTTGTCTTCTTTCTTCTTCCTTCCTAATACTGTTGTTCAGGTTTCTTTCCACATCTCTTTCAAAGACTTCCAGTGTTCTTCCACACAGGTTTCTTCAGGGATGTTCCTCGATATCTCCCATTTTGTCTTGGTGGCTGCCATGAAGATTTCCTTCGAAGTTTCTTCCTTCAGTCCAGTTTCCGAGTGTTGTACTTGAACTGAGGTCTATCACCAGCTTCCTTGAAGGCTTCCAACTTGATTTGGAAGGTTCCTTGCAGTAGGCGGTGAGTTGTGTGAACCTACATCTGCTCCTCTTCTTGACCTTGTGTTCAGTAGACTGCGTCTCCACTTTCTTTACATTGAGATAAAGTCGATCTGATTTTTGGTGTAGAGTGTCCTGGTGTCTGGTGAAATCCATGTCGGCGATCTGTGGATATCCTTGTGCTTGAACACACTGCTTCCAGTCACCAAATCGTTGAATGCACACAATTCTGCAAACAATTCTCCATTCTCGTTCATCACCTCACCTAGCGCCTCTCGACCCATGGTTAGTTCTCTTCCTGTGTTGTCCGTTCCCAGTTTGGCATTCATGTCACCCAACGCATTAGAATTTTGATATCACCAACTGAGGTCTTGTCCAGTGTTAATTGCAATTGTCTGTAGAATTCCTCCTTCTTCTCTTCATCTGCATTATTTGCAGGTGCATAGCATTGAATGGTTGTGATCTTGCTTCCTTTTGAGTTGAATCCATCTTGCTGTCATGATCGTGATGCTGGAGGAGATTGGTTCCCACTGCGTGGGAGAGAGCCTTTGATGTTCTTGGGGACATCATGGTAGCCACTTCTGAACTCAGTGTGCTATGTTCGTGGTTGTTGTCTGGGTGACAATATCGGAGAAGATTATTGACTCCTCTCCAGTTGACAGTTTGGAGAGTCCACTCCCATTCCATCTGTTTCCGCAAATTCCAAACACTTCAATGTGATACCTTCTCATCTCGTTTGCAATCTGAGCTGCCTTGCTGGGTTCAAACATGGCGTGGACATTCCATGTCCCCACGTTTACTTTCGCTTTCATCGAGAGAAGATACATCGGCCAATTGGCTTCCCGAAGGCTTTCACCAACTGGCGTCATTTCGTCTCTCCGATTCCAGCGAGGAACAATTTTGTTATCATTTTTCTATATTTTGTTTGTGCTTTGAAGTTTCTTTAGCGGTTAGATTTGTTTTCCTGGGTAGGGTTGCTAGCCCTATGCCCAACCTTCCCTCTTTATGGGGGCTTAGGACCGGCTAGTAACTAGTGAACTAGTTAACCAGGCGAGGTTGATTTAAGGTATTAACACTTCATTATTTCTGTACTATCTCATATCTTATGAATTTATTCTCTTTTTTTTTACAGACTCTTGTAGCTGCCATGGAGACTTTACATGGTTTGTCTGCTCTGGACGATGAAGGCTTATTAACGCGTCTTGGAAGAAGAGTAGGTGTCAATGTTATGCACTTCTGGTCATCATAGTTCTATTTTCTATCAAAAAAGTTCTGTTCTATTACGTATCTTTTAAAAAATGTTAGTTATCTTTTTGTTCGCATAGTTGTCATTCAGTGACTTCAACATCAGTTCAGTTTAATTCTATAAACCGAAGATTTACTTGCTTAACGTCTACTGATGGTCTCGACTATTCTCAGTAGAAAATTAGGAAAGATGTAAATCCCAACTAATACATAATTTGGAGGTTTGTGCAGATTTTCTTATTGACTTCAGCTTGGTATCCATCATAGACCAACATCAATCAGAGAAACATTGGAAGCGTTGGAGCACTGGGCATCTGTTTCATCCTAGTATAGGACTCCCCAACAGTGGACACCGATGACCCCGCGAAGGATCGAACCCTGGATATTCAGGTTCCGTGGTCAGCGCGTCGCCGTTTAGTCACTGGGTTGGAATCCAATGGTTCATATTTCCTACTTCTCTCAGTCGGACAACAGGACAGTTACTCACCGATGCCATTGGATGGAGGTCGCCTTGTATCATGAACTGGCAAATTAGAGAATACAGACCGCTGGATTCTGACCCGCTAGTTCAATGGTAACGTGCTGACTGCGGAATCTGAAGGTCCTGGGTTCGATCTCTGGAACGGTGGGGTCATGGATGTACACTGCTGAAGAGTCCCATACCAGGACGGAACAACTTTCCAGTACTCCTCTGTTTCCAATGTTTCTCCAACTGATGTCAGTTCATGATGAATACCAACCTGAAATTAGTATATTATGATTACACAGTTTCACATCTGATGAAAAATATGAACATAAAGTATCGACCAGTCAGATCTGACATAAGCCTCTGCACTCGCATGTTGGTTAGTCAAGTTCGCGTCAAGTATAATTGCTAATGCAAGACTAGATAGAATTCCACTAGAAGCCCTGAAAACAGACGCAGAGACAACATCGGACACGCTCACATCATTATTCTAGAAGTTTTGGAAGGGAGGAAAGGTACCTTCCGATTGGAAGAAGGGCTGCCTTGCCAAAATCCCAAAGAAGGGTGACCTAAGTCTTTGCAAGAACTGGCACGGAATCATGCTCCTCTCCACCCGAAGCAAGCAAAACTTTAAGCTACATCATCCTGGAGAGACTAAGAACTGCTCGGGATTCAAAATTACGACCGGAACAGGCTGGATTCAGGAAGAACAAATCATATATGTGAGGAGCAAGAAGCTGGACGTACGCTTGTCCGATGAAAGGACCGTAGAAGATTTGGATTTCGCTGGTGATTTATGTCTAACTTCGCAGAAACTCGAAGATCTACAGGCAGAAACCAACAAGTTGACAGAAAAGGTGAGGCAGGGAAGACGGGACTTCAAGTGAATGTAGAGAAGACGGAGGTGATGAAGATGCCCAACCAATAATAACAACAACAAGCACCATCAACAAGAGAAACCTAAAGGAAGTAATCTCTTTCACCTACCTACGCAGGCAGCATCGTTTCAACTGCAGGCGGCACAGGCACAGATGAGGACGTCAAAGCGGGAATCGGTAAGACAGCAAGACAGGCCTTCAGTAATCTGAAATCGATATGAAGATCTACTGCACTGCACTCAGCATAAAGCGTGAAGAAGATCCGGATTTTCAACACTAATTTCATATCGAGTTAGTGCTTCTATGCGATGGTTCAGAGACTTGGCGCGTTACGAAAAGCATTTCCCACAAACTCCACACACATCAACAGCTGCCGCCCACGCTTGATATTGAAGATCAGATAGCCAGAAAGAATAAGCAACATGGAACTCACTCTGACAACGAACCAACCAAAAACCCATCTCCCAATAAGTATGGAGAAGAAAGTGGAGATGGCTTAGACATACACTGAGAAGAGTGATTGGGGACATCGTGCGCTAGGTCAGGCCGTCGAGTGGGACCTAAATGGGGAACGACGAGTTGGGTGTCCGAGCCGAGGGTGACGTGGAGGAAATCGTGTGAGGAAGAAATGAAAGTTTGTGGGCAGTCGTGGAGGGAGGTTCGCAAGACTGCAGAAAAGAGAGTGCAATGGAGTCGTGCTACTGAAGCCTTATGTTCCACTAGGAATCCAAGGGACAAATAATAATAATAGTTGCTAATTATAAATATGCTTGATTTGTTCAAGTACTTCATCTCTTTGTGAACTTTCACACTGATGACTTCTCGTTGTTTAGTGTTGAACGTCTAGCGATATCATACTTCAACTCAGTAGACAATTCAATATGAACATCCACATTCAGGAACACAGGTACTTACGGCTATCGTTTACTTTATTTCCATATAACTGCAATGGTATCTATGATTATTTTTTTACCAACTGTTCTAATTGATCGGTTTTCTGTCCGCTTTGACTCCTACCACGAATTGAAAGTAGACTCTTCTTTTACAGTTGGTAAATTGGGTTTTTATCATTGTACCTGTTAATTGACAGTTGCCTACTCAAAACGTTACCGGTTTATTGTTTTCAAGTTCTGTCAGTCGTATGGGTTGGCAGTATTTTTCTTTACATTTATTTAGGAGATAGAATGTGCTGCTTCACTTTTTTTGCAAGTTAGCTTTCCCATTGTAGTGATAATAACAGTTTAAATAGTTAATTTGATATTCGATTTGACTTGTTTTCCCTCATAACTGTATACTCAGGTTTTTGTAGCAATGGTTGTATTTAAGCCGAATTGGTTACCTTGTGATTTGTATTGTTTCTAAGGGAAACACTGACTTACTTCCTCTTGAAATCAACGTGCAACATACTCCTTTGCATAACAACAAATGCTTCATAGTGGAAACATCCAACTCGCTTGAATTGTGCATTATCACTGTTATATGTATGGAAACCTTTTCCTCCAGCTACTGGTTGTTTAATACGGACTCTGTAATTGAAATAAATAATTTTCACACTGTATCTTATAAGCTAGAGAACTTGACTTTCAAGTACCTAGTCATGGATTCAACTTCTGCTGCATCTACTAAAGTTCAAAGTGTAGGCAAGCAGTATCTCTGGGTATAGTGACATAATGAATATGGCTGATAGCCGGCCATATGAAGCTATCCGCTTCATATCAAGCTCAAAAGTAAATTATTCTTATTGATACGCCTTAACGTTAGTCAATCACTTTTTTGAGCATTGTTTTGCTTATTTGATTTTCAAATCATTGGGATATCTGAACTAATTTTAAGAACAATTATCTTATATTTCTTATGATTATTGTTATTAACCTTATCTTTTTTTTCCCCTCATTTTTACCATCTACTTATCACAGAAGTCTAGTTAATAGCCATTCTCTCTCTTTCTTTGTCTGTTATTGAGATGTGAATAGAGAAAGAGGAGATTCGCCTTTTTAAAAACTTGATTACATTAACTTAGCCGGATATGTTTGTTTTTAACTTACCAGGAAACAATTTTTTTCTTTCTCTCTCTCTCCTGCATTTTCACTCCCTTTCTTCTTACGTTTCTTTTGCTTTGTTTGTTTGTTTACTTACTTAATTTATGAAAACCAGTTTATGGAAGTTTTTTTAAAAAAATTCATCTGCGTGTTGTGTTCACTTGAATGTATAGATGTATATAATGATTTACAATTTTATCATATAACTATTTCAATATAATTGTGTATATTTTGTGTGCTTGATATAGACTAATGTCGTGAACTAGACGATTCTTTTGAATCGATTAGTTGAAAAGCAAATAAGAAATAGGCTTATATCTCGTGTAGAGTGAATGCTGTATACATCTAACTACTGTTACAATGAATGACAATAGCAACAACAGAGTTTCTATTGTCTATGTTTCTCAATGTTTTTATCAATTCTTATTTTTGTCCATGGAACTTTTATCATCCTATTAAATAAACATGTGAATTTGATAATAACACTTCTCATCATTAAGTAATACTTAACAAGCATGCAGCAACGGAAAACTTTTCTATCTTTAGATTACACTTTGTAATTAGTACATCATTTCTGGTTCGATACTAGTAAAGCACAGTTTCGCAACGATTGTTTTTGTTTTTTCCTCTCCTAGTTTTCTAACTGATATTATCGTCTGCTTTAGTGTAATTGTTCTATCTCTTGTCATTGTCACTTTGATTGATGCCTACATATATTTTTACACTGAGTTTTTACTTTCGAAAAAAATATCTTTCTTTTCTTTTTTTTCGCATGGCTTGTACAAGTTATTTTCGGTTGTTAGTTCAGTGGGTTTAGATACATGATTGGCTGACTGACTGACAAAATCAACATAGAAGCTCGTACAGAGGAGTGCATCAACTCAAGTTGCTACATTTCACAAAATTACACAAGGAGCAGGTGGATGGTAAAAGGGGTGATTATAAAAGTAAATAAAGCAGTATAAGAGAATAAACAATCTGAAGATAAAGCTTAGTGTGGAGATATTCAAGCTTTAGAAGATGTCAAGGAATGAATACCGATCTGCACCAAGTGTCATCAACCACTGATTCCTTTCGTCTTGGGGACCCTCCAACCAGACAGTCTAAACCTCCCCACACGACTCACGTCAACAGTCAGGGACTTCATAGATTGGTGCCAGTTCTTGACATGGTCGCCCTGAACCATTTTCTAACCTAATCCAACTTCCCCTAGCATTGCACGTCGAGGTAGGTGGCGGCTTGGCATGCACACTACATGTCCAAGTCATCTCGGTCGACTAAGGTTTACAACCTCATCAATCGACTGTCTATCTTGCACAGTTCCCATTCGTCTGACCTCACCATTGCTGACGCGGGGATTTCACTGGACGCGAGCAATGCAGCGAAGACTTCTATGACTGACAAGTTATAACCTGTATTGATTGATAGTTATTATTTTTTCTCACCAATGATGTTCTGAGCAATGTCATCAAGAGCTTCAAAAATTAAGTGTTTAGTTATTATCGCTTTCTCTTTGTAGAATAAGTTGCATTCAGTGGTAGTAACATTGAGTAATTAATTCTCATGTGCAAAACGTTTCAGCATAATATAGATCATTATTTGATGAGTTAAGTCATCGTGCAGCATCACTTTCAGTTCCTCATAAATGCCGTTTTAGGGACGTATGTATCGATCATTCTTCTTTGATACCTTCAGGGTGTTATTTTATGTTATATAGTACCGCCTTTGTTTTGAAATAATAATCGTAACAAACAATTATGTCTGATAGTAAACTGAGTTGTTCAGATTTTTGATATAATTTTGTTTACATTCTACAGAATAGTTTTTGTTTTAAGTTTATATCAATACCACTACCTTTTCTATTTTGTTTGTACAATTTAGATGGCTGAATTTCCTCTTGAACCAATGCTTTCAAAAATGTTGATCATGTCGGTTCATTTACAGTGTTCAGAAGAAGTATTAACTGTTGTCTCAATGTTATCTGTTCAAAATGTATTCTATCGCCCTAAGGTTAGATTACCATACCATATTATTACTTATATATATATATATATATATATATATATATATATATATATATATATATATATTCCTTATTTTGAAAAGTAATTCCTAGTTATTTTTCGAAGCAGTCTCGTGGTTATTTGATAGGACTTTGATGTGTATGAGTTAGAGATTAAGCGTAGATTCTTCGTGTAACTACGTAAGTCAACTAATGTGGTTATGAACTTTCATCTCCGTTTGGGCCAACGTACAGTATTAACGGAAGTAGGTTTAAACTGAAGAAATATTATGGGTAACTACATCAAGAGATTGCATTAATCCAGAAAGGTTTCGATTATCATCGATCTTAGTCGTAAAGAAAATACGCGCCTCCACGTTGAGACCTTCGTGTCAGCTGAAATCGCTGATGATAGACTCATGGTTTGGTGCAGAATTGATTCGAGTGTCATTGGTGCATCAATGCCTTATCTATCTTCATTTTCTCCCTTAAACCATGTTTTATTATTATCGTTTAATATTATAGCTTTGTGCTATTATTGATGATGCATTTCTTAAACTTTTGGTTTGCTTTGTATGCGGGTGGAACTTCTACAGGTTAGGTGTTCAGTTATCTTGGGTCCTTTGCAGTCTGCTTTTTATAGGTTTTTTAACAGTGGGATTATTTCGCGTCTTGCTGTTTTACAACCCTTCATTTCCACTAATTTGAGTTCGTACGTTAAGAGCATCAGCGGTCGAAGGCATATCTCCTATCACTTTACTCACAGTTAAGTATTTGCGTGTTGTTTCCGCTATAGATATGAAAAGGGAATAAATCAGCTCTTTTGACAAATGTCAAGTCACCGCCTACTTCGATGTGCCATGCTGGGAGAAGATGAAGTAGAGTGGAAGAATACTCAGGGTGACCAGACCAAGACAGCGCCAGTCGATGAAGTCTCTCATTGTTGCTCTGAGTTGTGAGAAGGAGACATAAACTGCCTGATTGTAGGGTCCCCGAGACGAGAGGAATTAGTGGTTGAGTATTCTTGATGACATGGTTGAGAACCGGTCATAATAACGCAGATGTATTCACTCTCTGACGTTTTCTAAAGCTTGGATATCTGCATTAACCATTACCTTCAGGTTGTTTACTCTCTCATACTGCTTTGTCTACTTTAATATCACTTGTTCTTTGTATACTACTATAAAGTGTTGCAGCTTGAAGGGATGCACTTGTGTACAAGTTTCAACGTTAATTCTGTCTGGCAAGTTTCAATGTGTACGGTAAACATGCCTAGATGAATAGTCTATCTTTATGAAAGCAATTTGAATGTAACAGTCAGCGAATTTTTTTATATGGGAAGGATTTTATTGCTTCTTAGAATCTGTTCTTATCCATGCTAAATATTGGTAATTGAAGCTTCGCTAATAGTCTTTTGAAAGAATAAAATACTCGTTGAAGTTTACTGAGAAGAATGTGAAGAGACTTAAGTGCTTGTTTCTTAAGTACTGGAAAAGTTTGACGGGTCATTCAGATCGCCTAGTCTCAAAATAGGATCGAGCATGAATATGCTCTTCCAGCACTTCTCCTTTTTAGTATTGATTCTTATTTTTTCCAAAGAAACCTTAGTTTATTATCACTAAGGAGCCAAACACAAAACACCAAGAAAGCATGTGTTGTAGTGCATTGCCTTTCACCCTCTTCTTACACATGTGGGGCTTCGAGCCCTTAGTCTAGACATTCAACTTTCAACCAGTAGGTCGTTGTTTCGAACCCAGCCCAGTCTGCTACGTTTTTTCTAGGAAGCTGAGTAATATGGTTAAATCCCACATAATAGGTGTGACACATTGTCTACTGCATGAAAATCCATGAGGTCTCTGAAGGTATCTCGATTGTTTTTCGACATTTAGATTAACTGTTTCCAAATGTTTATATTTTTATCGCTTTGATCTTGAATATGAAAATTTGACAAGATACTCGTTTGTAATTCTAAAGATTATGTTTCAACTTACTTTAACCAATGGTACTACATCTTTTTGGTTAATTCAGCTTTGTCTTCCATTAGAAACTTGTAACCTACATATCTGTTCTCTTTTTTGTACCTCATCAAATACTTACTCTTCACTATGCAACCTTTTCCGCTTTTCGAACTAGTATGAACCTGTTTATTTATTAAGTTTTACTTAAATGTAAATATTTTTCTGATCTATCCTGTGGTCGATATATGTGTGAGTCATCAGTTATGTCATTCTTAGCACTGGTCACCTAACAAGCCACTACATAACTCTAGTGAAACATGACTGTTTTAGGTCACTGACACGGTATGCTTATGGTTTTAAGATGTTGGTATGCATTACCGAGTATATCTTACATATGTGAAGAACATACTGTGATGCACCAGAGAAACCACTTACTTGAAATGACTATGCAAATATCTTGAGTGGGGACTAATTCACATTTTAAAATCACTGCAGCAAAACTTAAGATCTTTGAAACTGATGCAGATACATATGCTGCTTCCCTCACATCACATCACTACTCATCCATATTTTAGCTTGACGGTATAGTGAAGGGGATGTATACTGCACCGATGACTTGTTGAATGTTTGAAGTTAATAAGATAATATTAAGGTTGTTTTCACTCACTACCATATACTTTGTTATATCTGCACATCATGTTCAGTAGATTTAAAATGGCTTATGGAGTATTCTTTTGATTTCTTTCTTTCTCCAAAGCGTTCCAGCAGCATTTTTCATTGCCTTCACTACTACTGCTACTGACATTACAGCTGTAGTAGTTGTCATTGAAGTTAAGTGTATGTAAACTTCTTTTTCTTTTTCTGAACAAAAATGCATCCAGGAAAAAACAGAACTAGCTGATCAACGTAAAGCGAAATTCCATCAACCGGAAGGTGATCATCTGACTCTGTTAGCTGTATACAATGCTTGGAAGAATAATAAATTTTCTGCTCCATGGTGTTATGATAACTTTTTGCAAGCAAGAACACTGAAACGTGCTCAAGATGTTCGTAAACAACTACTCGGTATTATGGATAGGTAAGATTGTCGATCCCTTTTTTTCTGTCTATTCTCATTTTGTGCAACAGAAAATATCAACATGAGGTAGTAGATTCATTTTTTTAATGTTTTGCATTGATTGGTTTACTGTCTGTGTTGTGATTCAGTAGGTATATGGTGCTCAAAGTTTTAAGTAACATCATACTATGTGTAGTTTGTGCAAAGTAATGACCTAGAAAATATGCGAATCTAAGGTTTTACTCCCCAACTATTAGATGCATACATCAGCGAAAACTTCCCTTGTATGGCACAAATACTTCATCATTTTACAATGAATTACTAGTTACTTGAGTAATTTTCCTACGCTGCTGAAGGTCATATAAAATGGCCAGATTGAGAGTACAAAGTTTATTACTATTATTTGTGTGACAGAGGTGATGAAAATACCGCACCACCACCACCAACAACAAACTCCAATCACCATCAACGGGAGGAACTTAAAGGAAGTAACCTCCTTCACCTATCTAGGAAGCACTGTTTCAACTACAGGCGGCACAGGCACAGACGAGGACGTCAAAGTCAGAATCGGAAAAGCAAGATAGGCGTTCATTAGCCTGAAACCAGTGTGGAGATCTTGTGCACCCAGCATGATACGTGAACAAGATCCGGATTTTCAACACCAACCCAGTCAAGTCAGTGCTTCTGTGTGATTTTTGAGAGACTTGGCGCGTTACGAAAGGGATTTCCAATAAACTACAGACATTCATCAACAACTGCTTACGCTGCCTCGTTACTGAAGATCAGATGGATTGCTAGAAAGAATAAGCAACAAGGAGCTCTGGGAACGAACCAACCGAGAAGCTATCATCCAACAAATATGCACTGGAAGGAAGTGGAGATGGATTGGGCATACACTGAGAAGGCCGATTGAGGACATCACTTGTCAGGCCAGTTGCTCGAGTGGAATCCCCATGGGAAGCGACGAGTTGGGCGTCCGAGGTGAGGGTGACATGGAGGAGATGGTGCGAGAAGGAAATGAGAGGTTGTGGACTGTCGTGGAGCCAGGTTGAGAAGATTTCAGAGAACGGAGTTGACTGGAGACGTGCTAGTGAAGCCCTATGTTCCATTAGGAACCCAACGGACTAATAATAATAATGATAATAATTTGTGTGATTACTTCACATAACCAATAAACTATCGGGTTTGATACAAAAAGATTGTCTTCTTCCGCTTCGATCGAGATCCAGCTAGCAGTAATATGACGCTTGGCCTCAACACTTCACACGTGAAACATTTACCAATTGGATATCGTTTTGCTCATTTGGTCATTTTAATTTTGTATGGAACCTATGGATAGGAGAGCTATTGAGCGCGTTGACCACTTCACAAACTTAGGAAGTCGGGTCACCCTTGGTGGTGGTGGGGTGTCAGTAGTAGGCGAAATCTCTGTGTGGATACACAAGTCGCACATGGTCTTCACCAGCTTACACTATTTATGTTATCTCTTTGATATCACATTGCCTAATTAGAACCAAGTTTATACTGCGCTGCACTTCATTTTTTTACCTGTGACTGTGAAACATGTCATTTGAAAGTAGAGAGCACGTGAAGGCCTCAAGTATTTAACCACTGTTGCTTTCGTAGCATTGGTTGTGCCGTGGTATCACTGCTTCAGTATCGTAAAAGTTAGGTGCAGAATCTTAGGGAGGGGAATAAAGTCAGTTGATTAGGTTGTACCCGTTCATTGACTTAGATGGATGGGGTATATACGCGTGTCTAGTCATCGTCTGCCCTATCGCAGTGCTAGCTGAAATAGTTACAAGTTGGGAAACGGTAAGCGGAAAATATCATCAATCCATTAAGTCACTGGTTGTTGGTCCAAGTTTTATGAGGAATTACAGATTTCTAGCCAGGAATTAACATGGAAGTCGAAATTGGTGGTCAGAGACTTCAGGTGATCTGTTTCAGAATCAATGTTATTTGTGTACATGCAACTACATATTATCTTTATCTTAGTCGTCATAATGAGTTCCATAATCTTCTCATTCCTTCCTGTTCACGTATCACAAGTTTTCATCATTTTTGATTGCCTTCTTCATATGTTTATTTTTCATATTGTTGCTTTTTTGCTTGATATGAAGAGTGACAATTCAAACACTTATACCAAGTCTCGTGTTAATTTTGACTGAACTGCTAAGTGGTGTATGCCATACTCCACTTAACTAACAATACCCATATCTACTAGGTGTTGTTGGGTAGTCGAAGACAGTTGACAGAAATTTCCGGTCGGCCTAGGTTTGTGTTAAACTTCCTAAAACTCAGCAGCACTAAGTGTCCTGGAAATTAGGAAGTTGTATGCTTAGTTTGGAGATCGAACCTTTCCCCCGTACAATCAAAGATCACTGCTTCCAAGCTTACTGGTTTTACTATGATTTTGTCCCAGCAAATTGTTTCTCTTTGGCTACCAGCATTGCTAGCGGTTTCCTGAAATAAAGAAATAAACAAAAAACTATATTCCACAACTCGCGTAACTTTGTGAATATTTTGAGAAATCCGTGTAAATTTAGTATTTTTAAAAATTGATGTTAGTTATTGCCTTTAAGGGCATGTTCTTTCATATATTATACCTTAAAACTAATCTTTTTTTTCTTGCCCAAACATGTCTAAATTACATCAGTATGCGGCTGTGGCTCAGTGGTCTGGGGCGATGACTATCAATCAATGGGCTACAGGTTCGAGCCCCGCCCTACCTGCCACGGCTTAGGCAGCCAAATAGTATCACCAGCCGTCAAAAAATAGGTGTGGCTCATTGCCTACTTCACAGAAATTCACAAAGCTATTTAGTACGCCCCGAACTACATCCATGAAGCTTCCGTATGCACATAGCTCAATTCAGTTAAATTTATTAATTCAAAATCTTGGTTGATGTCTTTCTTCATTTCACGTTGTGCTTATTTAATTCTCTACTGTTTTTATGTGTCTTTCAAGACATAAATTAGATGTTGTTTCCTGTGGTAAAAAGACTGCTCTAGCTCAGAAGGCTATCTTATCTGGATTCTTCCGTAATGCTGCAAAGAAAGATCCACAAGAAGGTTATCGTACTCTGGTTGATCAACAAGTTGTCTATATTCATCCATCATCTGCTCTGTTCAACAGACAACCAGATTGGTAAGTCTGTTTGATTTCCAACTAATAAAACTTAATAGTGATTGGTGTTTTACCAGTGATGGTTCGATACTGTACTAGCTACCGTAGCTCAGTAAGATGATGACCTAACATGAGATCTATTTCAATCGCGCAGTGTTGTTCGAATAAGAATTTCAGGATTACTAACCTTTTATCACCGCACCACTTGCCTAATTCTTCTTGTAGCAACCAATTGAGTGGTTGGTTATCGTGTACGGTAATGAGTTCACGTAGAAGAAAAACTAGCTTGTAATCAAGTCTCTAGATTCTCAACTTGTTATTTGTCTTGGAGGATAGTAGCCTTGATTTTCCTGTCCAAATTCTATTTCGGATTCGAAAGTTATTTCGGTACTGGTTGTTGTATCCGCTTCATACATTCCACCTCAGTTGCCTTGTCACATTGCTTGTTTAATGGAAATCGCTATGTGGACGGTCCTCAGGTTATTTAATAAGGGAGGTAAGTCACTTGTAGAGGTTAGAAAGCTTTATCAGTGTGTTTAGTTGAATTTCGGCGATTTGAATCGTTACGCAGTTTTTATTAAGTTCTATATCGTTTACTTCCGTCAGTCTTTTTGTTATCGTCGTTGTCGTGGTCCGTAAATTCTATCTTAAAGGCGAAACTTTTGACTAGTTTTTTTTACACTTCATTACGCGTAAAGTCGTTGTGTGAACGCTTTTCAAGGGACGAGTATGGATCTGAATATCATGATACTTCATGCTTCACGAACGTGAGATTTCATTAAAGGCACTTAAGAAATACAAATATTTCCTCAGAGGTGTCTTGGAAACATTGCTCACTTATTCTGGAGTCGCTGGAGACTCTCTATTGCGACTGTACATTAAATAATAGGTGTGGAATAAAATTATCTTGTTACCGATGCAATACACTAATAGGAATCTGAGTGGGACGAAGTAAACCTGAGGTTTGTGTGCTAAAGTTGTCCCATCAACCAGTGAAATCAATAACTGCTGTATTGATCTGTCCAGATAATGATAGAATGGGTAGCCCTGTTGGGTGGATGTTCACTGGAAGCACTTATTGGCATGAGTCAACATTCCTTGCAAGAATATACTCATTTGTTCATTATTCACTCACTTCCCCTACGTACTCCATCACAATATTTTTGTTACCTCCCTCAACCTACTACAATTTTCCAAAGCGATACACTACTACTGTTGATCTAAGTTGCTTGACCTCTTGTCAGCATATCTATAGGAAAAGTCAGCGAGAGGAAATACAAGAAGCAAATCATATCATCAGTTATAAGAAAGCCAAAAGGACCAAGAAGGAGGGGAGGGAAAAACATACGACGTCGGAATTTTCATCATTCAAATGAAGATCCGTGTTACCAAGATTTACTCTGACACATATCGTAACTCGATTGATTGGTGGTGGCTAGCGGTTGGATCAAGAACGCGCGTCTCATCCTATTTGGAACTCGTCAACTGACTATACCTGCACTTCGGTGAGTAATGTTGTCCCCAATGAGAGTCGAACCAAGCATCTATCGCTTCAGGAATTTACAAGCATTAATAAATAATAATATAAATCATATATTGCCTGTATTCTCCAGCTCTGTTTTAGTTGCCTCACTGACTGATACAGAAGCATACAGTTTTACGTACGTTTCAGATCTCAGTTAGTATAACTTAGAACCTGGTATTGTTCGTCTAACGCTTACAAATATTAACACTAATTGTTTACCAGTAGAAAATGTGGTATCTAATTTCATCCTGTACAGTGTTGCTTGGTGAATATAAGGGACGAAGAGCATTGAAATATCCTTTAGCGTTTATCTCTGGTGACTTCTGTTAACATGATTAGTTTTTAAATTCTTATCGCTAATCGCCATCTACTTCAACAATATTCGGATGTACCAAATTCCAGGGTGGTTATTCCACACAACATTCTATGAAGTCATCGATTATTCACCTGATTCTTCAAGGAGAAAATGTAAGCTTTTTGGTCATAAGGTATGAGAAAACTAAAAGCATTGGTTAAGTGATATAACTTGGTGTGTTCATGACAGTGGTGCAATTACAACCACCCTATGTCTTCATCTATAGCGTTGAAATACTACGTTTCTTTTATTTTTATTCCTTGTTATCGTTTCTTCGAACAAAATTTAGTTGTACTGACTTCTCTTCTTCGCGCCTAGATGGATCTATGACTTGTTTGTTTTGACAGTCGGTTTTCAACTAGTAGGTTTTGGATTCGAACCACACTCCACATATCGAGGTTTGGGCAGTCGGTTAGTATCAAAAACCGTCATACAATAGGTATAGCTTATTTCGTACTGCACAAACGTGCACGTATTCACTGAGATGTATTACAAGTTTTTTCTTCGATGAATTTTGTCAACTTGTGTGTCAGATATTCTGTGTATTAGATATTTGCTGGTTTTCTGTAAATATTTCACATGAATCTGACACATTTACTTCCTAGAGAAAAAGAACACTTAGAATTTCGTTGGAAAATGTCGACACCATTTCTGTCCAAGATAAATTATTCCTTAATTCAGTATTTCACTACTATTGTTATTATTATAAAGAATGGATTCCAGCAGAGAAAAGTTTTTTTGAAATTCTGCGAAGAACTCCAGAACAACTGATCCACTGCTGATAACCATGGTCATTAAAGAGTTTTTAGGTCAAATGGGGGGGGCGGGGGGGAATAAAAACTGTTTCACGCATTATTTTTGATCCGTTACTACCTTTTCAAGCTTTTTTGTGTGTAAAATACGCTCATATCTTCACAAAGTAAAGTTTTACCACTGCTGCTAAACATTTGAGTTATATATATATATATATATATATATATATATATATATATATATATATATATATATATATATAGACTATTCATCCCTGAATCTCCATGTGTATACACGTATTTCTATCTGAACAAATCTAAAGCCCATGTATATCGCTTTTCTCTCTATTTCTCTTCATCTATCTTCGATATTCATCGATAGAAAATATCCTATATCTAAAACTAGTTCAGATCTATTCATCAGAAACAATAGTTGTCACAACAACAATAACAAAATAGCTTAATTAAAATACTATCGACGTATTACTGTGTGTGCATTTATTTATTTTTATTAATTCCTCTCATTTTCAAGTTATTTGTCCACCGTAAACTTAAAATTTTTTTTGTAAAAAAAGTTTAACATCTCTGTGGGAACTCACAATGCTGAGCAGTTGTCTTTTATCCCAATAGATGACTCTTAAGTTTACAAGAAGATTACTGTAAACTAAAGTCAATGGTTGGAGTAATTTACAACGGTTACAGTTTCTTGTATCCATGCTTATATATCCGTTTGCTACTGACCAATCATTTACATTATTATTCGAAATCTGTTAAGTTTAAATAGACTTCCCATCTGAGAATCCTTTGAGTAACAGGAGCTAGGGTTGCAGACTTTTATTATTTTTATGATCCTGAGCATCTTTTTCACCTTCTCTTTTTTCTCTTCTTTCTTTGCATTTTCAAAGTCCAGTAACTTGGACTATTCATATTTCATGCAAGATTTCTTACTGATTTATCCATCTTACGAGTATAAACCATCCAGCACACCCAGCAAAAAGGCATCAAGATCAAGCATAGAGAAACAGAGGAGAAAACGGTCAAAAATATGGTAGAATGTAGTCAAAAAAACAGCAAACCGGATTGCTATTCATCTACCATCACCTTGTTCTTCTGACCAATGAATTTTAGTTCATATCTAAGCTTAGTCTTTCCTGATATTGATTTACCGGGACAGTATTTGTCAACCTCGGTTGGTATTATAACCTAATTAGTATTATATAGCATAAAATACGCATAAGAAACCTGTAGACCAGGAGACGTTAGTCGATTCAGTCCCTATAAATTAGCCAAATACAAGACGAGGGTCGAGCGTAATGTAGTCTATTTCTGTTTGCGCAATCGACACAAAAATCATTCAAAAGTTTCCTTTGTGGTGATTTTAAAAGTAGCATAAATAAGTGATGATAACATATATTTGCTTATAATTTTAGCTTTATAAAACGATATACTAATATAAATAAGTTTTAATATGATCTCAACTTGTTTAGGAAATCAAAACAAGAGTTTTCTGAACGTTTTGTTGAGTATACCACGGCTACTTGGATGCTGAGCTTCTTACAGGACATTTGTAGCAACTGTGAACTGAATATTGATTACACAACATCCTAATAACCTGGTCACCATCAAATCAGCTACTAAGGAACTTAATTGTAACAGTTTACTCTATTGGTGCTGTAGTGAATCTGTTCTAAGCCTAGAATAACGTTGTATTACACCATGCCTCAGTTAAACGTTTTTAAATCTTCCTATTTCATGCTGTTAATTTTAGTCTGCTGATGTGGTGATTCAGTATTATAGGTAGAAGTTGTGGTTAATTGTGACTAGTGTGGATATTGCCCTCAGTTACCTGTTTCTTAGTATTGTTTAATCGAAGATTTCCTACTCTTACTTAACCAACCGTCTCAAAGTTTGATGAAGTTGTAAACTTCAGTCTACTGACACGGCTTGGACATGTACTGCGCGTGCCGAATCACCGCCTACCTCGAAGTTGCATAAAGTTGGAAGAGGGTTCAGGGTGGCCAAACCATAACGTAACACCAGTCGATGAAATCTCTTACTAGTGGTCTGAGTTATGAGAGGGAGATATAAACTGCCTGATTGGAATGTCTCCGACACGAAAGCAATGAGTGATTGAGGACTTTTGATGACATGGTTGAAAATCGATCAGAATGGTGCAGATGTATTTCACTCTTTGACGTCTTCTAAAGCTTGAATTTTCACACTAACCTTTATCTTCTCACACAACTTTATCATCTTTAATATCATTCATTTTCTCTGCACCTTTTCTTTTTATACCACTGTGAAGTGTTGCAAGTTGAAGTTGATCCACTTGTGTACAAGATTTTGTGTTTCTACACTAGGCAACAAGCCATGTCGATGATATAAGTGTTGGTCACACAACATGGCTTCATAAATGTCTATAGGTGGATTGGGTTTCGAACCTATGGCCTTAATAGTTGTAGATTAAGTATCTATTTCGAATGACCTAAGCAATACACGTCTTAATGTACAATGAACTACTTCAACCGGTAATATCTCATGGTTGATTATGGTGCAATTTTTGTATTAATTAACTAATCTCATATTTTCCTGATTTGTCGTATATCAGTAGAATTGTGAATATGATAGCACTGTAATATCAATGGTATTTGTTGTAGATAGTTATTGTTTCATTATTATCAAAATTATATATAATTGATTTTCAGTAACGTTTTTCTCATATCATTAATCGTATGTTTGTGATACTTATGGATTAGATTAAAATTATCACAGATCTGTTCACTATTCAGTTCACAATAATGTCATATTTACATGTAAAAAGATTCAATAATTATGCATTAATTTCATTGATTTTTTTTTTTTAATATTTTCACTCTTAAATTATTTTTTTCTCTTAGGGTTGTATATCATGAACTTGTTATGACAACTAAAGAGTATATGCGTGAGGTCACTACAATTGATCCACGTTGGTTGGTTGAATTTGCACCGAACTTCTTTAAATTTGGTGATCCAACTAAATTATCACGTACTAAAAAGTCAATGAGAATTGAACCATTGTTTAGTAAATTTGAAGAGAAAGATTCATGGCGTATTTCACGTGTTCCAAGGAAATTTCATGTTAAAGTTACTTTTTAACATGATCCTTTTATTGTTTGTGTAGTAGTAACAAATACTTTTCAGTCCTGTTTTGTTTTAACTTCTTTATTGACCTTCCCTACCCTTTTTTTCACATAAACACGAACTACTATTCTGTACAGATGACTAATGTCAATAATCCTCATATGTTACTTCACTTCAGTGTTGTCAATGTCTCATTTTTTCAGATAGAACTCATCGTATTCAACTAACTCTGAAGTTTAAGAAATGTAACGTATTAAGCTAGTATCTAACATTCTTGTAAATTTCCAAAATTCTTTCTTGCATCTTATGCTTTGTTTTTGAAGATGAATAAATATGGATTGAACGATTCAATGAATTATTGTATTATTGTTTTTACTGAATGAATTTGATGGGTGCAATTGTGATTTTCTCTGGTGGAGTTTTTGGTTTCATATTTTTTTCGACACAGGATTGGTGTACTGATGAACTGAGAGAAGTAGGGAATGTGTACCACTGGTTACCAACGCAGTGGCTCAGTACTAACATGCTGGCCGTGGAACCTGAGGCTACTGGGTTCGATCCCTGGCGGGGCTGCGGTCATGAGTGCGCACTGCTGAGGAGTCGTTTGCTAGAACGAAACTCTCAGGTTTCCAATGTTTCCTCAACGGATGTCAGTCTCTGATAAATACCAGCCTGAAACCTATACCCCATCACCTTACATATACACACTTTATCGGGTGGTAACTGAAGCAAGCTTACCATTACAGTTTACTACAAAAAATAACCTTGTATCATAGTTAACTTGAGCTTTGTTAATGTTTTCACTCACTGGTTAGACAGGTAGACCATTGTGAAAAGTGCGCTAATTCAAGTCACAACAATACAAGTTGAAAGCCAAAAGAAGCTTGATTATTTGATAGGAATAGACACAAATACTATGTCACGAGGGGTCTCGAACCATAATTTCACGGTGACTCGAGGTTTACAATGTGGGAGTTCTCACTACCTTACACAACTTAAACCAGCAAATAGTGATTCCAAGTTTGATACCGTGTTTGAATCCGGCTGTTTTATGACTTTCAAAAATTTAATCTTATTGCATGCCAAACAGTGTTGGTTGGCTGGAGGCTGTCGACTGGAAGCTTTGGACCTAGATTTTATTTGTTGGCACTCGTCAGTAAGGCATATTTACAAGCTAAATGGAACTGATATTCTGCTGGAGATTTAAACTAGCACCATCGAGTGGTGCAGTCAGACACGTCAACATCGATCTATTGCGACTGCAATTTATTTCTTGCAGGATTGGATTAGGTACACTGGTTATTCTCAAGAAAGTGACCAATTTCATTGTGGCTCCAGTCCTAAATGCTGACCAAATCTTATCGACCATTTTACAGTGGGCCTCCAGATTAGGCAAATCACCGTCATGGTTTACTTTGGTGAATTGGACGCAATAGATAGAAACCTCTACCTGACCTTGGTTTCGTGCTTACTAGGACTCATCAGTGAGATGTTTCTGAAACCATGAGGAAACTGGCATTCCCTTGGTCACCAGTTGATTACTGTGAATTAGTTTTATCAAGTCGGAAGCGAAGTATCCAGTCTTTCGACTGAATCTAAACGCTTTTATTAAGACAGTTTCTATTCGTGTACTATTTGGAACTATAGTCGTCGCCACATCTAGTAGTAAAAGAAAGAAAAGGAAATATGAGAAAAGGGAAAATAATGAAATATGCTGAAATGAACTTTAAAGATGATTAAGAATGAATACATTTACGCAATTTTTATCAGTTTAATGTCTTGGGGCAGCAATATACAGTGACCTCAAGTTAAAGACTTACCAAATCACCTTGAACAGTTAGTCAGAATCAACCGGCTTTCATCAATCATAAGAAAAGCAACTGACGATGTGCACATACTCTCAGTTACATTTATTTGATAACGTCCATAGTGTTTGAACATAAATAATTTCCACTGAAGTTTTTTGGGGCCATTTTGAAAATATGGAATAAGATAAATGAACAAGTTTCAATGGATATATGTGTATCACAACTAGTCGAACTTTTTGTCAATCTTATAAGGAATTGAGAAATCTTATGCCACATGCTCGAGAAAACTATCCTGTATAAAAAAGTTAGTTCATCTTCACAATTACAGTATTTATCATTTCAAATTTTCGTCTAATGGATGCCTATTTAATCTTTTTCGGTGGAATTAGTGAACGCCTTTTGATAATGACTGGTTGTTCAGTGTTATTTGCTTAGTCGGTGACTTGACATTACTTTTCTTTATCTCTGCCTGTTCACTCTTCCTTCAAAAATTATAAAAAATATGCGATGATGCCGTTGATGATGAAATAAAAAACCTGTGGATACTCATCAAAATCTATGGGTAAGAATTTAAAGCGGTTACCATAAGAACACCTCTCTCCGTCCTTATAAACTGGAATGTTCATTGAAGCAACCCAGTCAGATAAGGCTACATCTGATTTTTATAAACTAGGTAGTATCTTGGTTAGTTTCCTAAATGATTTCTTACCTCCATCCTTGAGAACTTCAGGTGGCAAAGTGTTAGGTCCCAGTGTTTTGCATTGTTTCAAGTTTGAAGCAGTCTTCTTCACGTCGAGAAAAGTTGAACTAACAGCACCTACATCCCATTCATATTCTGCCCACGTGATGGGTAACCGAAATGTTTCTTTGGACCAGCTGTATGGTTTTCAAAGTGTTCTACTCCACGCTTATCAGAGTACTATCCCACTCAGTTTCCTTGGTTGGTAAACTCAGATTAGTTCTTTTAGCAAAATAACTGCAAAGTTTATCATTTCTTCACCGATTTGTCTATACTGTCGACTAATACTCACACTAAACCAAACTGTAGTGATTATACTTACACAAGTTTTACTTACAGCTGTTCTTACCAGTTATCAGTGTGTTATGATGATTACCGACTTCTTGAATACTCTTTTTCTATATGCCTTGATTTAAAACTACTAGTCAATGGGGAGTTTTGAAGGGATCGATTGATTTGTTACTGATGTGTCCAAAGCTAGGACGAAACAGTTATCCAGTGCTGCAATGTATTTTCATTAATCTATCCAGCTAATGTCAACCTAGGATAAAAATTACCTTTTAAAAAAATATTAATTTATATTTTAGAAAACCACTTTTTCATTTGAAAAACGATAACCCTCGGTAAATCTGCTCACAAGTAATCGACATTACTTTGCACTTAATCGATTTTGTATCTAGGAATTCAAAAGTTTGGATTTGTAATAGCGTTGACTGATGTCAAGGTTAACGAGTTTTACATTGGAATCATACTTTAATCGAAAAATTGCACAATTCAATAGGTTTCTTTTACTTCACTTAGTGAGTGCATGACGTTATAGGTCACGGTAGACTTCTCTTAATTTATGTAGCTTAGGCAACCGGGACGTTTCAGTCCTCGGGAGATTGTATGTGACTTATAACTTAGGACACAAAGCTGATTTAGAGCATTTTCTCAACAGTTAGCATCAAATGGTGTCGATTCAGACAGAATTTGACAAAACTCATCGATCATACTTTTAAGATAGAGCAAGTTAGTCACACGCACGCACTTGTAACTGGTAGGTAAATAAACCTACCAATCATAAGAAGGGGTGATATTGGTCGATAAAATCTTGAGGATTAGCTGAAGTTGAGTAAGTCACCCCTCCCTCTGTCATACTTGTTTGAATCCGTGAGAAGATCAAAGTCTGCAATTGGAAACCTTAGGAGAAATGGTTCTAAGATGCCAGTAGAAGTGTTTATCCATGCACACTTTCATCTCAGAGAGTATCTATTCTCTACTAGTCAAATATGAGAATCGAAAACACTAATTTAAGAGTTAAACTTGAGAACAATGAAGCAAAATTGATGCAAGCTAATAGTGTACTGTAAAGAATTTTGAAAAATGTCCAATTTTTAAAGTTGAAAAATAACTAATTATTCAAGTGTCGATAACCACATTGGTATATTCATCATCTTTGATTGTAAATATTCTGTTGATCAGGAATCCATTCTGATATTTAGTGACAAGAGTTCACTGAATATTCAGTTACCATACTATTCTTCATCAGTAAATAGCATGGAAAAAATTATTCTCAACTTCCCCAATAACATATTGCTGTTTCCTTTTGTATTAATAAAGCTGTGGCGTCAGCAAACTAGCCACCTCTGCAATCGTTGAAACCCACTGTATTTTGTAAAACAGCCGATAGCATAAGCTAGTACACATTACGTGTAATTCAAAAAGCTGTGCCTTATTGCAGATACATAATGCTTATTTATTCATTTCATGGGTTTTTCGGCGAATTGATTCACTTCATAGGTGTTTCCACCTAGGGTTAACATTAGTCATAGAACACAGTTGAATCAGTGCACACCGACGATATCGTATACGATCAAACCAAACGGTATCAAGTCTCGCAGTGAGCATGCTATCACTTGGTTGAAGTATAATAGCTTGTATTTTCCATCTTCAGTCAGTTTGTGAAATTACATTATTAACTTTGGTATTTGACTTTTAGACAATAACTTTCTGGTTCAAAATTTAAACTGAGCCAGAACAACAGCTTTAACAGAATAGCATGGATCCATTTTATCTCATAGTTTCTCATCAGCTGTATATATCAATTCACATGTATATGCCAAAGGATATACATTGGATGGACAGAAAGAAGGATCTCTGACAACATATTTGAGCATATTCTAAGGAATTTTGAGACTGATAGGTGGAAAAGTCTTCAACAGGACTATTGCTTGTCATCTTATTGAAAATAAACACAAAGTCGATATTCACAAATCCTTCAAAATAGTTAATAAAAATATGAATTCCAATTTATTGCGTTTCACTGAAGAGTTAACCATTAAAAGATTAAAACTGAACTTATATTTTCAGCAAGAAAACGTTACCAGTTTGTGCTTGGCATAGTAAAAATTTTTGTTTTTTTGATATGATAATATTTTTTTGCAGATCATTGGGAACTTATTTCACACATTTTGTCAATACATGTA